AAAAGAGGGTTCAAACATTCCTCTGCTTGCTAACTGGGCTCCCATACACATGCAAATGACTAATTTCCATATATTAACAGTCAGGTCCTGTGTGATGAAGTAAGCTATGGAACAAGTATGCTGCCTGGAGCTGTTCAGTTTTTTTCGTGAAGTGCTGAATATGGGCTGTTAGTACAGAAAAACTGCACTGCAATGGGGGATATATACAGTAAGTCTCTTTTTTTTCCTGAGAAATAAAAACAAAACGTGAGCATCAGAGTGGCTGACAACACACGTACTATGTGATTGCTGAGTTTTGGCTTTTTTCTACGCACTGGTGTTCACATAACTCATGGACTAAAGCAAAAAAAAACAATGCAATCATTGTTATGCGAGCTCTCTGTAGGGAAGATGTTGGTGGGTGGGATTGTGTGTGCGGAACTGAATCATTTTCTGAACTGTGATTTAAGAGCTTAAAAGCCAGGTCTGTAGCTTTGACAGCTGTAATTGCTTCTACTCATGATACTCTGATACTCTATACCTAAAATCACTCCCTGTCCTAACAAAAGTTGACTTGGCAGACCTTCAAAGTTCATGAAACTGTCACTCTTATGAAACTAATATGCACCTGAATAGACCTGATATATTTTTTCTCTGGAAACAGAAAACGTGGCAGATAACACAGAGAATAAATTACAGCTAATATTTACATTACTTTACTAATATTATCTGTTGGAATTTAATTTAAGACCTGACAAAATAATTAATGTTCATCTTTCTACTCTAATGCCTTTAACAGCTTATTTTCAGCTTAAGGCTTAATTAAAAGATTAAAGACTTTACACAGCCATTTCTTTTCCTGCAAAGATGCTTGAAGACACAGTGTGAACTGAAGCACATTGGATACACTACAGAAGCCCTGCAAAGTCAACTCTGTCCCCTGCCAGAAGGACACAGCATACTGCTGCTACTGACACTACATTTGATCTCACTTGGTGTAATTAATTTTAGGAGACTGGGCTCCTAATGAGAAAATAACAGCTACTGTATGATATAATATGATTATTGTAAAGTAGGGTCATGAACATATTTTGATCACCTATTCATTTTTCTGGGGACTCACATGGATTGATGAGCTTCCCTCATAAAGGGGAAAATGTCCAGGACTAATGATGTGAGTTAACTTTAGTTTGCTTTCCTGCATGTGTGTTCTTCTTTGAAGTAAAAATGTTGTCCATAATCTCTTTGTCTACATGTGTGTCTTTATCAAGACATCCGTCTTAGCTCTCCTTTCAGTTTTCTAGTTACATTTTCTGAATGAGGAGTTCTCCTCAGTTTTACTGACAGTCAATGGGGGATGAACAGAATTACAAGGAAAATTTATGCCCCTTGTGGAAATCAATAACAACCACATAGCAATTAATATATGTAATTCTTAAAGCCTAACAAGACCTGTATGTTGATGAGATTAGATAGCCAGTTAAATCTGAAGTAATCCAAATTCCTCTGGGATTAAAAGCAACTGATCATTTTGCTTGGAACTTAGCAAATAACTGCAGAGACCACTGAATTGCATTCCATAGAGATAGAGGACTTGTATGTTTACTGATGGATAAGTATATGAAGTAAGACTGAAACGATTAGAAGAAGCGTGGAGCATCCTCCTTTGCTGCTTAGCATGCCTATAGAATCTATGCTTCTATATTTCATTTAGCTTGTAAGTCTGGACAGATCATTTCCTTTGCTGTGTGAAACACAGCAGCTTTATTAAAAATGGTCAATGCTCTAGAAAGAAGGGACCAAGCAGCAGCAAGAAAATTGCAGCGAATGGATCAGCTCTTCAGTTCTTCATTCTTCTCCATCTTCAACTCTAGAAATTAAAACTTACTTGGACATGGCTTTTTAAGCACAACGGGCAGCTCAGCACCACCAATAGCTGACCATAGGCTAACCTTTAAAGGCTTCACTTTCTTCAGACTCATATTGTTTGCCTAAATATAAATATGAGTTGATCTATCAAACACATTTACACATCAGTTAAATATCTTGAAGAACTGGAGCCACACACAACATATCCAGGCCCCCAGTACAAAAAAGACGCAGAGCTCTTGGAATGAGTCCAGAGTAGGACCACGAAGATTATCAGAGGGCTGGAGCACCTCTCTTATGAAGAAAGGTTAAGGGAACTGGGCTTGTTTAGCTTAGAGAAGTCTCCAGGGAGACCTCATTGTGGCCTTCTAATACTTGAAGGGAGTCTATAAACAGGAGGGGAAACAACTGTTTACAGGTGTGGATAGTGATAGGACAAGGAGGAATGGTTTAAACTGAGACAAGGGAGATTTAGGTTAGATATTAGGAGGAAGCTTTTCACACAGAGGGTAGTGACGCCCTGGAACAGGTCGGACCGCCCAAGGAGGCTGTGGATGCCCCATCCCTGGAGGCATTCAAGGCCAGGGATGTGGCTCTGGGCAGCCTGGTCTGGTGATTGGTGACCTTGCACATAGCAGGGGAGCTGAAAGTAGATGATCATTGTGGTCCTTTTCAACCCAGGCCATTCTATGATTCTATGAAAAAGGGGGCACTGGTCAGCTAACCAGGCTTGCTGAGGATGAAACAGTCTTGGTCATACCAACAAAAATCCACAAACATTTCAAATCACATATAGCTTATGTAACAAGTTATCAGAGGAAAGAAAGCTCCCCCCCACACGACCTACCCCTCAAAAAGGGATACTCAATCTGTTCAGTTTATTGTTAATTTTTTTTTAAAAAAAAGTTTATCCATAAAATAAAAATCCATAATATATATAATATATCCATAATATAATCCAAAATATCCATAAAATAAAATTTAAAAAATGAATCCATAGTGAGGAGCCCTCCAAATACTAGTGAGAACATGTAAGAACAACTAAGACTTCTGGCACTGCTTCAGCAGATAAGACTTTACTTGAGGATTATAAATATTATCAGCCAGAACTAAAGTCACTCGTTGAGCTTTGTAAGACATTTTACACAGCATTCAGCATCACAGTCATGTCTGTATCAAGTGCCAGACTAAAGGGAATGTCTCTTTTTTTTTTAGTTACTACAGGTTTTCTTTAGGCCCCAATTAGGCACCTGCATCACCTCCATCCCATAAAAAAGCTGCAGAACCACTGTCAATACTAGACCTTTTTCCCTCAGTATTTCCTCACCGTTCATATTACTGCATCATTTTTGCCCTTCAATATTTCTCACCCCCCTGAACCTACATCAGAAGCTCCATTTGGCATTTGCCCTCTCTCATTTCTTGTGTCCCAGCAGATTGCTAGTGCAGCTCCTGATGGCTCTTGCTCTGCTTGGTGGGAGACACTCAGCCTTCTCCGCACAAACTCAGGAATTGCAATTCCACTTCAGCTGGAGGAACTGGTGTCACTGTAGCACTCTATGAACCAGCACACTCCAACAAAAATGTTGTAAAGCCACATCCAACCCCAACTTATTGCACAGTATGGCAAGTCTTCGCACTTGGCCAGATCTTGATCTTCCCAGGATGTGCTGTCAATTGCTGTCTTCATGGAACACTGAGTTAGGCCTTGAATTCATATTTAATATAATAAGGGATTAAGTGGAAATTAAATATCTTTGAATGAGGGAGAAGGATTCATTCATGCTCTTCTTTCTCTGTTTACTAACATCAAATAATTCAGACTGCAGTATTCCTGGACATCAAAATGTGAGTTACTGAAGAGGCCACAAGATCCGCTGGCCTGGATTTCAAACTCTGCTATCTCAGGTCACCAAAGCATTTCATGTCTGTGATTGGTATACGGAAAAAGAGAGGCTTTAGACCAGGAGTCTAAACCCATGTCCCACAGGCCACTTCTGGAACAGGACAGCTGGTAATACAGCCTCATATAGGGGTAATACACATCTAACAGTCGCCTAAAAAAACAGTTGTCAATTTACTAATCCAGGGATGGTAAAAGTGGGATTACAGAATCATAGAATCCTTAGAGTTGGAAGGGACCTCTGAAAGCCATGTAGTCCAACACCCCTGCAGTGAACAGGGATACCACAGCACATCAGGCTGCCTAGGTCCTGTTCCAGCCTTGCCTTGAAAGTCTCCAGGGACAGAGCAACAACCCCATCACTGGGCAATCACCACTCTCCCTCACCACTCTCCCTGTAAAAGATTTTTCCTTTATACCTAACCCAAATCTCCCTTCTTCGAGCTTGAAACTATTTCTGCTTGTTCTACCACAGACTCTGCTAAGGAGTCTGTCCCCTTCTCTTCTGGACTCCCCTTTAGATATTGAAAGGCCACTATCAAGTCACCTCACAGCCTTCTCTTCTCCAGGTTGAAGAGCCCCAGCTCTCTCAACCTGTCCTCATAGGAGAGGTGTTCCACCTCTTGGATCATTTTCTCTGGACACGCTCCAACAGGTCCATGTCTCTCCTGTACTGAGGACTTCACATCTGGATGCAGTGTTGCAGGGGAGGCCTCACCAGTGCAGAGCAGAGAGATCACTTCCATTGTGCACTGCAAGGGTCCAGCTTGCCATCTTCCAGTAGCCAGAGGTCTTTTTCAGCAGGGCTGTGCTCAATCCTTTTATCTCCCAATTTATACTGGTAATGGGCGCTGCCTCGACCCAGGTGCAAGACCTTGCACTTGGATTTGTTGAATTTCATGAGGTTCTCCTGATTGCCCAAGCCTATCTAGGTCCCTCTGGATGGCATCCTGTCCCTTTGGTGTGTTGACCGCACCCCATAGCTTGGTGTCATCAGCAAAGTTGCAGAGAGTACACTCAATCCCACTGACAATGCCACTGATGAAGATATTAAAGAGTATTAGGTCCAGCACTGAACCCTGGGGAACACCACTCATCACCAATCTCCATCCACTCACTGAGCCACTGACCGCCAGTCTCTGAACTCAGTCCTGCAGGCAGTTCTTCATCCATTGAACAGTCCACCCATCAAATCCATATCTTTCCAATTTGGAGAGAAGGATGTTGTGGTGTACCATGTCAAAGGCCTTACTGAAGACCAGACAGATGGCAGCAGTGGCTCTTCCCTTGTTTATTAATGCAGTGACAACGTCACAGAAGGTCACCAGGTTGGTTAAGCAGGATTAACCCTTGGTTAAGCCATATACTGGTTCTCCTGTATCACCTCCCTTCCTTCCATGTGCCTTAGCATTACTTCCAGTGCCTGTAAACCTGACTGGGGACCGTAAGGGGCACTGTCTTCTACAGACATCATGCACAGAAGATTTCAGACTGCAAAAAGAGATAACAGTACTTGTACTTCAGCAGAACTCTACTGCTCCTGCTGATGCTGCTCTTCAGCTTTTCCCTGTATTGTTTTAGCAGCAGGGTGGCTGGAGGTCTGTCTGCTGCAAGTTTGGTGTGGAGGAGATCAGAAGCTGTGTTACATATCTATGGGACTCATAGTTGCTTTTATGTTCCATACCATGCACCAGTGCTGTCTGTTTCCAGCGGCCCTTTATGAGAAGAAGCTTTGGACTTTCCTGAACTACAGGAAAGCCAGCAGTATGCTGTAGGAAAAGCCAGGATCTCATGCTGTAGTTGAACTGTAACTTCATTGGCAAAATTTGTTAGTTTTAAAATCAAATCCGGAGTCTTTCTGATTTTATTTCCTATTTTATTAACAGCAGCTTTTAAATGGCATTCATTATTTTTGGCTGCAAAACGCACACTTTTATTACTCCTAAATCCGTGCTGGTTCTTGCTGACGATGCCACTTAACAGCAAAAACACGCAACATCAATGCCCTCTTTGTGCACATTTATCTCCCTCTAGTGGAAGCAAAGCCTCGGAAAATCAGCAAAGTACACCAAGTCTGCTTCTCAAGGGAGTCACAAAAATTGAAGATGACTAATAAAGAAGGAATGTTGTCCAGCTTTTCTATCCATTCAAGAATGGCACTGGAAATCTAGAGAAATGCTAAGAAGACTGACTTGAGAAATCAAGTTCTTACTGTATTTTTGGATAGTTCTTTCGTTGCTCTGCTGGGATTTAGAACAGTTCTGTCCCGGAGGTTTAGGTTGTGACCTTAACGGGGCAATTCAGACAGAAATGTGACCAATTCCAATTCCATTGGAAGTTTTTTTGTTGTGGGCTTTTAATCAGATTCAGCAGGAAGGGACCACTCTGGTGCCATCAGCACCACTCCTGATGAAAGATGATGTTGTAGCAAGGTAGGGCTTGGTTCCTTCTCCCATGTAACAGTGTTAGGACAAGAGAGACTGCCCTCAAGCTGTGCCAGGGAAGGTCCTGGTTGGATATTAGGAAGAATTTCTTGTCAATGAGAGTGAACAGGCACTGGAAAGGGATGTCAGGGAGGATGTGGAGTCTTTCGCTGTCCCTAGAGGTTTTCAAGAAACGTGGAGTTGTGGCACTGACGGACGCAGTTAGTGGGCACGGTGAGGACGGGCTGACGTCTGGACTCGATGATCTTAGAGGTCTTTTCCAACCTCATGGTTCTACAATAGACTATTTTTACTCAAGGCTAAGTGGTTAAGCCAGTGTAACTATAACTGCACCAGTACTGCTTCTTTGCAAGGTGTCTGCTATAAAGCTGGGAAGCGTACCAGAAGAAAGCAGGCAACGCAGCCACCACAGGCGCCCACATCAACCCCTACAGGAAAGCCACCCCCACGGAAAAGCCGTTCCCCTTTCCCCCCCCCAAGATGGCGGCGGAACGCCGAGCGGCAGGCGCCCTTCCGGTGGAGGGAGGAAAGGAAGTGACGACACGCCGCGCCGGCAGCGACGGGGACGGAGTTCCGCTTCCGGCGGGAGTTGTGCGGCCGGGCTGCGGTATGACCAGGTGGGCTCGGAAAATCGCCGCTGCGCGCGGCAAGGCGCTGAACTCCACACCCTGGGAGGAGATGGCGGCGGGGCCCGCGGAGAGCGGCCCGGAGAGGAAGAATAAAAGGAAAAAAACGTACCAGAACGAAGACGTCAATGGTTTTGCGGCGTACCTGAAGCAGGCGGGGGATGGCCGGGGGCGAGAGGAGGAGGCGGCGGTAGCCCTGAAGAAGGACCGTAGGCGGGAGGACAGGAGGCTGAGGAGGCAGGAGGCAAGGAAAAACGCCATGGTGAGCTCGGAGCTTGGTGCCCGGGGTGCTGGAGGGGACGAGAGCGTCTCAGCCTTAAGCGGGGATGAATCCCTGCTGAGGTTTGGTTCTGTGATTCTATAAAGTGAGTTTTAGCATAAGCGGGTTTCATTAAGTACACGCAGTTGAAGGGAATTTCGCCCTTGGCGTGCCTTTTCTGTTTACGTGCTGATCTGCAGCCCTTCGGGGAATGGCCAGCCATGTTCCTGGGTGAAATGTGTTTTTTGTCTCTCTGTGTGGCTGTGCAGTGCTCCTGTGCGTGTTTGCAATTTCATCATGTTCTGGGACCGTTTTTTTGCAGCACCTTCTGCCTGAGAACTGGGGTGAGATCTCCAGCAAACTTAGAATAAAACCACCTGAAAGTGGTTGTTCGTGAAGTTACTCTAAATGGAATCTGCAATGGCAAAGCAAGTGACTGCTACTCATTAATATGAACTACCATGAGTTATGAATGAGTTGCAGTGCTATAAGCAGCTTCTGAGACATCAGTACTGACATATTTTTGCTTGTGTTTGCTTTTTACATGTCCAGAACAATCTTAGGGAACTAATTCTGCTGCAGTGAGGATCAGAAGTTGTCACTCAGCTGCTCAGTTCCCAGTGGCCTGGGACAAAAATCCTGCGTGTGTTGCTTGTGAAGGAAAAAAGCACCAATAATCATCTTGTTTAGATGTCTGTTTAGAGACAGAGACTACTGGCAATTATTTTGTTGGTGCTGCAATGGCTTTTTTGTCTTAAGCTTTTTGTCTGAAGTGTTATGCTATTGTTGATATACTTGCCTTCTGAAAAGCCTAGAAGCCTTGTTAGGCTGTTGGTTTCTTTTTGTTTGTTTGTTGATTTGTTTATTTTTCTGAGCTATTCACTGAACCTTGGCTTAAGATATTGGAGTAACTTCAAATGTCAGTGCAAGAGGTATGTATTTATTAGCACCTCCTACGCTTCAGCCGAGATACGTTGGGATCTAGTGGAAATCTGGCAGATAAAAGTGATAGTCAGATAACAAGAGTAAGAAAACTGTAGTTATGCCACCTGCAAGTGCTGTGCTTTGCTCTGTGAACTGCTTATAAGAATGCATGTAACTTATTTTTTATTTTTAAAGGTATGTTTCCACTGCAGGGAACCTGGCCATGGTGTTGCTGATTGTCCAGCTGTACTGGAAAGTCAAGATATGGGTACAGGAATCTGTTACCGGTGTGGATCCACAGAGCATGACATTGGCAAATGCAAGGCAAAGATAGACCCAGCTGTTGGTATGATTCAGAAGTTTTCATTTCGCGGAGTGCTTTGGTCTGAGTTTTCTTAGTACTGATATGTTGATCTGTGTTCTAGCAATTTATCTGTTCTGAAGACAGCAATTAATATGTTTAAAGGAGTACAGTATTGTGGCAACAAACCTGATGTTACAGTTACGCTATCCTACATCATACTGCTTCTTACAATGTTTTCAGAGTTGTCTGTGACTATACAGTGTTCTTAACTTTTGTCACAAATTATGGAATTTTGCAGGTGCATTTCCATATGCAAAATGTTTCATCTGTGGTGAGATGGGACATCTATCAAGGTCATGTCCTGACAATCCCAAAGGATTATATGCCGAAGGTGAGTGCAGTGATCTACTGCAAATAAAACATATTTTTCCTACTTATGTGACGCAGAACTAAGAAACACTTTGGATTAAGAAAAACAACTTCCAGATGTCTTTTATTCTTGGTGAAGGCAGATCAAATCTACAGAATTCATCATTAGTATTCACTATCTGGAGATTCCTATTTCAATTTTAACCTTAGCATTAAAAAGGAGGTAAAGTGCAGAGTATGAGAATTTGCTCACACTTGGCAGTTTCAACAGGATTACATATTTCAATACAGATTTCAAGAGAAACCATAATCTCTGTTTGTATGTGGCCAATGTGTGTTTAAATTTACATACAACTAAGAATGTGATAAAACATCCCATTGGTCTGTTTAGGGACTTCATAGCCTTTATAGTTTAACACTTCAGCAACAATGAGAAGCGTTCACAGAAAACAAGGTCTGTCATAGCTACACGCAGGAATAATTTGTTTTATATGGGAAGTGACACTGTAAAAGATTAAGGAGAAATTAAGAGTTGAAGAATAGGCCACAGCTTCCAGATGTTCTAAGAAATCAGTTCTACTTATTGACTTGATCCTATAGCTACTCAGTATCCCAGTGGTTGTGGCACTCACAAAAAGGGCTCTCACAAGAGAGAGATCATCAGGTGAAGTTATTTTAATGAGAAATGTCACCTGAGTGTGTAGATTTCACTCAGATTTTGCTATGCCTGTCGTCTTTGTAAGTAAACAGAAATGTCTTGTATGTGGTGAGTGAAATTTGTAGTGATTTGCAGAGCTATGCTACTACAGATGCATGTTATCTGTAAGATTCAGAGAGTCCAAGGAAGGTGTGTGTGCAGGCTCCTAAAGCTGTATGCTCATCTGCTGCACAATGTTACGTAATTGTGCGTAGGAGTGTTGACCTGTCTGTGGAGATGCATCTTTTCTACAGGTTGTCACTACAGAAGTGTAAAACAAAATTTTTTTTAACATACATTTAACAGCAGAAGAGTGGGTTTGTATTGTTTTGTTTTCCAACTTTATCTTTTAACAGGTGGCTGCTGCAGACTTTGTGGCTCTGTGGAGCACTACAGAAAAGACTGTCCGGAAAACCAGAACTTAGGTGAGATGCAGGGGATGGCATAGAGTGCGATTAGAGAGCTTTCTAGTAACAAGATCATACATTGCCTTTAAGAATGTGTGCTTTTACTACGGGGTGTAGATAGAGGAGACAGTGAGTTGCTAGGCAAAAGGAACTTTCAATTAAAAACAAAAAAAATCTAGCTTGTACACTTCTGAAGGCTGTATGAGCAAATGTGTATTTATGTTGAGGTTCGCATTGTTAGCAGCTGTAGTAGAAAACATGCAGAATTGGTTTCTTTTGCAGGCAGTTTGTGTGAAGAACCTGAATGTATTTTCAGTTGCAGTGTGGTGGTTGCTATAAGCTCCATCTGCAGGCAGGCATTTAAGTCATTTGAGACAGGGGTGTGAGAGGAGACTGCAGGCCAGTCCTGCTAGATTTGTCAGCTAATAAGCTGGTTTCATCCACCTGTGTTGATAGAAAAGTAGGTTATAATTCTGTGTAGCTGATTGGCTTTTAGTGAAATGTTTGATGTTTAACTGAGCCCTCCCTTGTGGTAAGGCCATTGATAGAAAGTGTTTTGAGAGAACAGCTTCCCTTGTTCACTGATAGTTCTTTTTTTTTTTTTTTTTTTTTACCTCCTTGCAAATCGGTTTGCACTGAATTCGTCAGTATGTGTTACATACTGACTAATGAATAGAATGCATTTTTGTAATATATTAATTATGCTGGGCTATACAATTTGTGTGCCAGGATATGATCTAAGGGCATTTATTTTTCTTAAACCATTAGAGAGAAGAAAACTGTTTCTTTCTGTTTCGTATGTATAGAAGTAAGATACTCTATGTATCTTTTATTAAAAAAAAAAAAAAAGAAAAAGAAAAACAAACAACAACAACAAAACACCAAAAAAACTAATTTAAGAGAGGCAAAACTGTCCAAGGTTTGGAGAGCGACACATTACTGAAGTGATGAAACACTTGTTGGTTTCTCTACTTGCAGAACATTTGGGTTAATAATATGCCATAAGTTTCTGAGGAATTGATGTGAAAAACATTTACAGAGGCAGTAGAGTTCTGTACTTCAACTGCTTTTTCTAAGTGATCATACAGATACCAATATAATCTAGATGTTGTTTGAGAGCACACTTCTACCATTCTAGATGTGTGCTGGTTTGCTAATTTGGAACAAGTGAGGTCGAGTCTTAATTGGTCTCAGAAGTTTCTGATGTGAAACCTAGGTGGGTTTTTTTTGTTTGTTTGTTTTTGCCAAACCTAAGAGCCACAGCAGATTGATTTGTGCAGTGCCTGTCAGATAACTGCTGCAAGTCTGTGATGTCTCTTGCTGGGTTACTGCACACTACGTTAACAGCAAACTGTTTTTGCATGCTTAATACCTTCTGTAAATTGAAAACCTGTGCAGATGCTATAGGAGAAAAGTGGGAAACAGCTGTGCTGAAAGTCAAGTCAGTTCTTTCCACCAAAGGCTCCTGAGCAGTGCGTAGTGCTGACCAGCAAAGATCCACTATGCAAGGAGTCTGGAAAGCAACCTGTAAGAGCTTGCTCCTTCACATGAGTGGCTGCAGTCAATAAATTGCTTGGTCCGGTCTTGAATAGTGGCGTGCACATATATACATGACAGGTGATAAAAGCTAGCAAGTGCTGATTTGTAGAGTCATTGTAATTTTGTAGACAGGGTTAAAATAAAAATCTCTGCAGTCCTTTCTGCTTTTGGGCAGTATAATGAACTATATATGAAAGAGAACTGGTCAAAATAGTATTTAAAATGGGGGAGGGGAAACTTGTTTATTATATTTAGGGAGGTAAATTGAGAAATGTAAACTTTTCTCAATTTTATCTCTTCAAGAATGCTTTCCTTTACTTCCAGAGATGCCTTACACATTCTGAGATCTCTACACAAGAGTAATTAGGACTTCACAGAAGACACATTAACTCTCACTGTACTCCAAATCTTTCTTTGGACAGCCAAATAGGAAGAGATTCATATGATTTCTGAACATTTAAAATCTGTGTGGGGGGGATTGGGGTACAAAACACAAACACACGCTTGTTGAAGGTGATCAGTTTCAGAAGTAGAACTAAATTGATAGATCTCTGCTGAACCAAAAGCAGGCCCTTGTGGACCAAATGTTTCTCAAATATGAAAGCTCAATCTGATGATAATGTTTAACCTTTTCATAAACTCTTGTCTCTTGCTTTGCAGACCAGGTTACAGTTGGGCGATGGGCCAATGGTATGAGTGCTGATGATGAAGAAACTACAGAAACACCAACGCTACAGAAACCCAAAGTGAAAATACTTAAAGTTATTAATTTTTGAAAGCCTCCTTTGGGTGCTAAACGGCAGTGGTTGTGCACTGCTTCATTTCAGTGTAGTGACCGCATAGAGTGGATTGCTGCTTCCTGAAAACCAAGCACACTGCTGCTGCTGGGTCTGTATCCCTGCTTTTTACAGTTCAATTCACAGACTTATCCAGTGGACTGAAAATCTGGGAACAACAGAAATGCATCAAGAAGGTGTTTTATTTATTTTTATACATTTTTTGCAGAAAAGCTTTTCTTCTGCTAATTCTTTAAAGAAGAAAATTGGTTTTCTCTGCTATCATGCAGTGTGGTTGCAATAAAAGCACAGGGTTATGTGCATTTTGTCACAGGGCTTTATGGCCACTCGATTTAGTGGTCAGTAGCACTCCCTTAAGGATTGCTGTATTGGAGACGAATACAATTATGCTGATCTTAAGTCATCCTGCCTTTCTCTGAAAGGGGTTGCAGGCATTTTCTAAATACCAATTGGATTCTAGATTGGTTTTGTTTCTTACAATGATTTTGTGCGGTGTATGTGCACAATTGAGCTGTCTGACAGCTAAGTTATCAGTAAAGCTACAACTTATGTGACTTGAGCCTTCTATCTGGAAAGCTTGGAGGTACAATTCTTGCTATACATAATGGATCTGTTAGTGTGTATGTGCAACAATCTGATAGATTATGCATGCTTTATTACCTGAATATTTCACTGATAAGCCAAATCATGCTCTTCCTCTGATATGCATTATGAAACTCACCTGAAAAACACAATACCCAAGTTGGATGAGAGCCATCAAAATCATATGTTTAACCCCTCGCTCCAGACAGGACCTCCCATAATCCAAACTCCATGTCTGAGAGCAATGTCCAAATGCTCCTTGAGCTCCAGCAGCCTGGGGCTGTGCCCTCTGCCCTGGAGATCCTGTGCCAGTAGCTGGAGAGCAAGGGAGCTTGCTTAGTTTACTTTTTAAGAAAAGCACCCAAAAATCTTGATCTTCAGTATTTCGGTCCCTTGGGGTATTGGAAGTAAACTTTCCTTTCTGTTACTTAGATGTACCTACTTCATAGTGGATTTTTTTTTTTTTTAATGGAGAAAGCAGCCTGCACTTGGAAATCCTGGTAGATGTTACAAAATTTCCTCAAGCCAACAAAGGATGGAGTTCCTCCGTACGTTCTCAGGTTTCTTCCTGTGCAGCTGACAGTGACAGAATTTTACTTGCATCTTATCTGTCATCTAAGTTGAACAAGCAAGCACAGTGTAAGTAGAGGAGTACATTCCAAGCTCTGCTCACATGCTGCTTTCATTCTGAACTGGGGTCTGGGCACAGCATTGGCAGATGCTGTTCTGTATCTCTGCTGTGCTCCCCTCCACTGTACAGATGTGGATTCAAGCACCTGTGCCATCAGGCTTCTCAGTGCTGTATTGCAGGCAGTGACCCAAAGGCCTTACATATGCCTTCTAAAATTTCACCTTGCATGATGTATTAATAAACAACTGTCTTTGACAGAAAGCTAAATGGTAATGAAGGTGTTGCTTTTAAAGAATTAGCTATCGTTAAAGTTAGTTCATACAGAATCCTGCTGAGAACACAGAACTAACACCAGACAACAAACTGAGTTCAGAACTGGTTTTTGAGATACTTGAGGACAAGGCACTGAGGCTGTGGGTTTGGAACTTCACATTTCTTACAGAATAAAAACAAATTCGTCTTAATACATTTGTGTAAATGTGTGCTTTTTTCCTTCATAAAATGCTGATAAAGAACACAATAGGTAGAGCTCTTAAAGCAGGTAGCATGCTATGTGGATTCAGTTTATAATAATCAGAACACATTTAAATGGAGAAGAGGAATCAATTTGGATGAAATCACTGAATTATTACAGTTTTAATTAACTTTGAAGTGCAAAACCGTTATTTCAGTACAGACAGGTCTTTTGTAACAGACATTCCAACTTAAAAGGTTATTTCCCTTTCTAGTATATGAATGCATATATAGGTTGAAAGCTAATCTTTTTTAGATGATATTCTGTTCAAAAATGAAACAGAAACTTGAAGCCATCCCCTTAACAGTGCTGTAAATGCTTGATATGGACAGTGTTGTGGTTCTTCCTCCCAGGGAAGTAGCAGCTCAGGTTCTGTAGGTCTGACTGAAACGTCACTGTTGTAAGCTGAAGCAAAAGCATTTGCTGAGAGACTGCTGAGTTATTTTGTGTGCTGCTTCTATCTTGTGGAAGTAAAGAAAATTCAGTGTTGCCTTCCCGCAGCTGATCCTGTTGTGAGCCATCTCACGCTCTAGAAACACTTGTCAGGCTCCTACATTTAAACACTGCTTTATTATCCTGAGAAGAGAGAGCAGGGTTCTTCAAACAAACAAAAAAGACAAAGTAGGTCTCAGTGGTTCTCAAGTACTCGCATACAGCGTCTGCTTGAATGGGTTTGTGAGGTGGTGTGCCTACCTCCTTTCTTCCTCAGTGACTGCTGAAGATGAAGTATGGAAATACTCCACTGCAGAACAGCTACAAAGGGTATCACTGCTCAGTAACTGCTGGTAAACAATTAGAGTTTAAGCAAGCATTCTTCCAGAAACCCAAGTCTTATCTCACTAGCTGCACACTGGTTGGTAGGTATGTCATCCTTGTGAAAAAGACACCAATTCCCTATGCACCTAAAGAATGAATGTGTGGCTGTGTGCAGAAAGCAGCCCTGCTGCGCAGTGCTAAGGAGTCTGGGTGAGGAGGCAGAACCTGCAGACACCAGCAGGCTCAGCAGAATATCAGTATTTCCAAAATGCCAAATAACGTTCACCTCCTTGTGGTAACACAACAGCTAAGTTCAGTGTTTAAGTGTCTCTAAAGGCAGGCTACAAATTGTGCAGCACAAGAGGCAGCTCAGTACCCAACGCAGAGCTCAGGCTCTTTCGCCCGCAGCTTTGCGCATGCATTCACAGCTGAACGCTAGGTGGCTCTGTTCACTAAAAATCGGGACTGCAGAGACGTAGACGTACACCCGCTCACTGCCTACCGCCTTCCGGGCGCAGCAAGCACAACCACGACTGACAGCTAAGTTTGTGTCCTGTGCAGCTCTCGCAGGCAACGATCCTTCTGTCAGCAGCCAAAGCAGAGAGCGGCTGCTTGCCCTCGGGCTGCAGTGGTTTCTGTGCTGCGGAAAGGGCTGTCCTGAGGCTGCAGTCCTCACATCACAGACTTAGGAGCTGGATCCCCATGTGATAAAAATCGCGATCCCAAGTCTCCTCCAGAGCCGTAGCTCATGCCACAGTTCATTTTTTATTACTAGCATAGTGTGTATCTATCTATGTAGTATGGCAGGTACTGGCAAGCTTCACTACCAATACAGAAGACATCCTGATCTCACTAATGCTTTAGTCTGGCACTGCACCCAAGTGAAACCAGTCTCACCAAGAGACCAGCTGACTTACTGCAATAGCACACCTGGAGGGCTTCCAGCACTTCATACAAAATTTGCACGTATATTATAATCTACAAATCACCAACAAAAACTTTGATTTGGTTATAGGCCAAACTAAAGATGTTCTTACGTAAATGGGAACTGGATTCAGACCCCTAAAGCACTCACTCTACCAATTATGAAACTACAGTGAGATAAATAGCACTGCTACAGTTCTCATGCTTTGATCCTTTTAACCAACTTCCCTGTTCATGTTACAATTAACTGTTGATGATCTAACCTGTTTTCTGAACAAGGGACTCTAGAGAAGAAAAACAAAAGCACAGAACGAAAGACACACCACAATAAAACCTCTGAAAACATTTTCTTTTATTCATCTGGGAATGGTTTCAAGATTATTCCTTTTCCATATTAATTAAAGGCCAGAAGAACAGTCTTGCACAGAACTTGGCAGCTGGAGGTCACAGCACTTCTCCAAGAGACCAGCACCCTTCATCAGCACTGAAATCCTTCCAGAGATAGTGCAATAAAAACTACGATGGATATGTAATCTGAAAAGCAATAATTTATTGAAGAACACAGACAAACTACAAGCATTAACAAATGACAAACATTATCAAACACTAATTTGCTGTAGGGCATAATAGATCAACATGTAATGCACAGGCAAGGAGCTGGACAAACTGAGCAGAGAACTGGACAAATTTCTTGGTAGTACTAGTCCTCTGCATATTAGACTGATTAGTACCTACTAATTTAAAATTGACTGGATGTCACCAGGCCCAATCCAACAATGAAATACACATTTAGGAGCAGAATTTGTGCCTTAATCTTTTTTTTTTTTTTTTTTAATAGAAAACTTGAATTTAGAGCATAAAGTCAAATCCTAATTTGACATAAAATCCAGCTCTAGTCCAGTATCAGCTGCATGACTCAAAGTAACTTGTAGAACAATTAACACATATGGAAAAACTTAAATTAATATTGCTTGATAGTCTCTCACACTCTTTTCACAACTTTGTGTTAACTTCAACACTTGCTGCCTTTCAGCTCCAAGAACTTAATACACTCCAAAGCTGTGTCTTCAATGGAGTTTAATGAGCCAGTAAGATTTGCAGCTAAGTAAGGCATAAGACTTGATGTCATTTGATTGAAGTAATACACCTGTTTAAATAAAAACAATATAAATTAAAAACCCTGGACTGCAATAGTTAGCCCTTTTATTTCAGAGACTAACTGAGATTCAAAGTTTCTGTGAGTGAGAGCAGAAGCACATAAGCAGTCGAAGCGCTGTGAAAGTGAAAGCAAGGCTCAGCAAAAAGACTTTCAATAGTCTTATAGTAATCAGAATGCCAGGTCCTCAAGCATATACATACATATACACAGGAGCAAGTTAGAAGGGACAAACAAGGATCATCTGGTTCACCTCCTACAGATGTGTTTTACAAACAATACCATTGCCTGAAAAGAGAATCTCAGCCAATGAGAGATACTCAATGTTTTCAGAAATACACTTTCTTAAATTAAAAAATTAGGAAGTTGGAAAACAACAGAGGAGAGAGACATTGTTGCTTGTTCAGGGATGAGGTTCAGATTCCATAATTTCAGACAGAGCAACTAAGCATTAAATGAGAACTAATTCCCTGGGCATCCTCTGTACTCAGTGAGGGCAGACAAGTACCAACAAACATCAGGAGAATGCACACCTTCTAGAAGCTTACTTTATGATTGATTGAACTACCCAGAACAGATACAGGCTGGGCCCAGAATGGTTTGAGAGCAGCCCTGAGCAGAAGGATTTGGGGATGTTGGTTGATGAAAAGATTCAACATGAGCAGTCAATGTGCAATCCAGAAGGCCAACAGTATCCTGGGTTGCATCAAGAGAAGTGTGGCTAGCAGGTCAAAGGAGGTGATTCTGCCCCTCCACTCTGCTATCGTAAGATCCCACCTGGAGTACTGTGACCACTTTTGGGGCCCAAACACAAGAAGGACATGGAGCTGCTGAAGCGGATCCAGAGGAGGGCCTCGAAAATGATCAGAGGGCTGGAGCACCTCCCCTACAAAGACAGGCTGAGAGAGCTGGGGCTCTTCAGCCTGGAAAAGAGAAGTCTCTAGGGAGACCTTATAGCAGCATGCCACTATCTGAAGGGGCCTACAGGAAAGCTGGGGAGGTACTTTTTATAACACCGTGCAGTGGCAGAACAAAGGGAAATGGCTTTAAACTGGAAAGGGGGAGATTTAGACTAGATATAAGGAAGAAATTCTTTACTGTGAGGGTGGTGAGACACTGGAACAGGTTGCCCAGAGAGTCTGTGGATGCCCCTCTCTGGAAGCATTCAAGGTCAGACTGGACGGGGCTGTGAGCAACCTGGTCTAGTGGGAGGTGTCCCTGCCTATAGCAGGGGGGTTGGAACTACGTGATCTTAAAGGTCCTTCCAACCCAAACCATTCTATGATTCTATGATCTTCCAGAGCTGCCAGTCTCTATTCAGTGCTTAGTTTGACTTCATTCCTAACTTTTGCATTGGCTGAATTTGGGCAAAACAAATTCTACACTGTGGAATAAAGATAGCCTAACAGATGTCTGGATAAGCTGATTCCTTTATTGTTACTACTGTTCTAGACTGTCAGCTCAAATGAGATCACATGCACATGCAGCACCAAAGGAAAGGAGGCACAGATGAGGCCTTCAGAGCAACTCACCCTACAGGAACTGCTGCTGTCACTGTAGATCTGGAATCCAGCACACAGGATTTCACTTCTGCAGTGTTCAGAAGAAGGTGGCACAGATGTCAGGGTTACTGACTTTACAGCTACTATGTATGGTTCACTGCAGTGCAAACAGAAAAACATAACTTTTTTTTTCAAAAATATATTAAAAAAATGCATGTAAAGGACCACAACTACAGACTACAAAATTTTCTTATTAGATGTCATTTTTATATTAAGGCAAGTACACTCCTGTATGCTTAAAACATGTAAAAAAGCTCATTTATCTTGAAAATGCTTTGTTACAAACTCCAATCATGAGGACTTGTGTGAAAAGTCAAAGAATGATCACCCACACACAACACATTTCCTTTCTGTTTGGCTTTGTTTTTGTTGTTGTTTTTTTTTTTCCAATTCCCCCAACTCCCTATGAGCCAAGTTTACAGCATCAGAGCCTTAGTTCTGAGGGGACGTGGATATGTCCCCAGCAACAACAAACCAAATCCAGCTTCCAGATGTGGGGAAAAGAACCCAAGTAAGGTACAGAATAGAAGTGATGTATCATTAACATGAAGAATTATAGCATATAAGAAATTATAGTGAAAATAAAGAATAACATACACAAAATAGACTAAGCAGCCCCATTTATCCATGTTTCATTATGTAAGAACAAAAGGAAATCTAATGAAAAAGAAAAATCAATCTACATTAAATCAATCAGCAGACTTCTTTAAACAACATTTAGCAGCAACATTTTCTGACACAATAAATGTATCACATTGATGTATCAGTGAAGTCCAAGCATTTCCCTAATTCCTCCAGAATTATATTGAACCTGACTACAAAGTAATTTTATAAGAGCAAGCTCTCAATCATGTACTTCTGGATCTGAATGTGCTTTGCCAAGGTGCTCTTTGGAACTCTGGCCTGTTTTTTCTCATGATACACTCCTGAAGAGTGGTGTATCTAGCAATGCAAGAATATGCTAGAAATCTGGGATGCTATGAATTCATTTAATTGTATGTCCACTTTGCAAAATAGATCTGGTTGTGCAGTCTCAGGTATCAATGTATATTTTAAATGAGCCACTCATCCGATTTTTCTTAAGAAATTAAATATCTTTACCATTGAACAACAGGCATGGTGGAGATCAGCAGTAATTCAAACTATGGGTCCAAAGCTCACAGCTGTACTCTAGTTCTGTGCTCACCTGGGCTCAAGAGGTTGCCTTCGAGACACAAGAATCACAAAGTCCCTGGGCTGATGGCCAGTCATGGGTGGAGGTGGTGAGGTAATGTAATATATTTTGTCATCTTCACTCACAGCTTGTAGGACTTCACAAGTTCTGCAAATGTATTTAGTACATGCATGTAGTACTTGTCATATGTAGCAATATCTCTTATGAAAAGCAACTGAACATGTATTGCAGCCTAAAGTTCAATGTACAGTTCTCCTGCTGATGCAGAAAACATGTGACAGGAATACAGAGAGAAAATCTGAATTTTAAATAAATGCCTCACCTGACAGAACATTTCTGGTCCACAAAACTGTGGAAAAAGTGCTGCAGAATGCTGGCACAAGGTCATAAAAGCCCATATTTTGCATATTACTCATTCCTATTTAGAATGAGATTAGCTTTCATGCTGTAATGCTTGCTGACTGACCAAACATTGTCCATTTGACATATCACAGGAGTGACAAATAGGAAACATTAGCAAAATTTTATTCAAAGCTGTGTTCTGCTGCATTCAAAAAGGGCCACCCAGTAGGACATACTCTTTCTTGGAAGTACTGATCACTACCTCTAAGTTTCTTGTAGAAAAAAGAAACCCCAGAATTTTCCTTTGTCCTGGCAGTAACTGATTTCACTTCAGCCTCCACTGCCTCAGCAATAAATGCCACTATGTTGGGGTTCCATTTTCACTAGTAAATTGGGCTTCATTATAGCTGTAAGAAACCCAAAATTCTGGCTCTATATATAGAAAAGCAACAACAATTTTCTTCAAGCCATTAATGTGGCAGAAAATGTCAAATTTTAAATATTCTTATAGTTTCACTTATTTTCACTCTGTAATAAAAATATTCCAAGACAGAATAATTAACTGAAAAAGCTTCTACTTTACGAAAACATTTACCTACTTAAACTAGTATCATATAAATTCAATTGTCTCTGGTCATCATTCTACACAATATAAGGCAAATTAAGAAAACACCTTTTACAGATATTGTGAAACCCATTCAGGCACACTTTGGAGGATATTACTTTCCTTAAAATGTACATTTTGAAGATCTTAATTTCTGGCATTCTCACTTTGTGTTATGAAGCTAAGCATTAGCATCCCAAAAAGGACAAATGCAATGGAGTTTTCAGCTCTGTCTTACTTCTGTGTCTACCATATATGAACATCAATTATATACAACCTTCTTGTTAACCTTCTAATACACAATTATTTAGGCATGGAATTTTGTTCGTTTTTGTGAAAAGCAACCTCTGTCCCAGCTTTTCTGATGGGCCAGAGCAAACTTATTTTTAAACTAGGTTTTGGAGAAATTAAATTCTGTTTTCAAGGGAAAAACCCAAACCATATTTTGACTAATGAATCTTTAATGACAACTTCCTACAGCAATTTAGTCTTAATTAGGTAGAAAAGTGTCAACATCTCAAAAAATATGTATCTTGGAAAAGGTTAGTTGTCAGTGGATTTGAGCAGTTTTAAATAAAGGTAAGTTCTTACAAAAAATGTTTGTCCCATTGCTGGCGGTATGTGAAGTTAGACAAAAGGGAGAAAGCTACATGTGATGCTGTCTTCACTTGCATTTCTACTTTGAGTGACAAGACATCACCATCCTCATGGGTCCATATTCTTATCTGAAAAAGTTAACAATGTATTAAAAACATGATTAATTTTACTGTACAATACAGCACAATGTAAAATTGAATACACTGATAGCACAGTGACATCACACAGTTTCAATTGCATCAAGGTAGAGATAATTCCATGAGTAGCATCCACTGGATGGGACACTGGTGAGCAGAAGCAAGCTGGAGTGAAGCCAGAGTAGATGAAGGGCATCCTTGTGCCCTACACGTGAGGCAACACAGGTTTCAGCAAAACAAAATAAAACAACCAACTGCTTTCACTGCCTCTGGGATTTTGGAACATATCCAGCAACCCTTGGCACTAAAGCTTTGGGACCTTATCCAGAGACATCCAAATGGAAGCAGATTTTTTGAAAAGCAGTCTCCTTGTTTTAAGACAGATGGTTTTAGACAACATATGAATTCCCTACTTCCCTGAGACATCTCCCCAGCCTACGAAGTACAGCAGCCTGTCTTTAAAAGATATGAAGATGTTAGAACAGGTAGGTAGTAGAGTTCAACTACTGCAGCTCCCTTTGTCCACACAAATCAGTCACACACAGTATACCAAAACATTATTCAAAATGTGGTTGTGCCTGCACTGTCCTATGCTTGCACAATATTGTCCTGATATTTTGGGTCTATAAGTCTGAACCTTGTCAAGGAGAATTCAAAAGAAATAACTTGTATAAAAAAAATACACACAACTCTTGCCAAAGAATGGCTTGGTGTTCCACAAACCCTGTAAAATGGAAAAAGATGAGTAGGAGAGAAATATTAGAACTGTTAATATTAGATCTGTTAATTTGTTTTTCATATCCTGTAAAGTTTTAACAGATTTTCATTTCTAAGTGATACAAAATTCAAGCTTCATCATCTCTGCTGCTCTTTTTGCCAAGTTAAAAATTAAAAGTCCATGGATTTACTGAGCATTCATGCAACACAGACTCTGTGTGTTCATCTATTTTCACATTTTAGAACATGGAAAAAAAACAACCCCAAAAAGTAAGCCAGCAAACAAGTCATAATTCTTCAAGACTTCAGAATCACAAAATAAAGTGCGAGTAGCAGCTGTTAAACCTCTCTCTGTAAAGTGAATACTGGTAAGGACAGCATGTTATACAGGCCTACAAGTCTTGTAGCTCTGTGTTAAAGAGCTCTCAGTGCCTCCTTCTACTTTCAAAACCACTCAGCCAACCTAGGGTCACTCCAGGGAAAAATGAGAATACAGACGGATGCTGCTTCAGAATATGCCTACAGCAATACTTCAACTCAAAATACTGTTCAGTCTTTGACAGTCTTGTTTCCCATAATATATGACTGTCTTCATGTACAGCACTGATCAGCAGTACCACCTGATTTCTATGGAAACATGATGTAAAGTTCTGAGAAATACAGTTTCGTAAGGGATATTTGTAGTGTCGATGTTTACAAAGCGAACATGAAACTGCAACAAATGACCACACCAACATTTCCTAAGACAAAACAATTTCACTTCCTTAAGTTGCAGAAAGCCTTTCCTAGGACTGCACCTGTATCAGCATTTAGTTAACTCAAGCACCTATCTAAACATGACCAAAGGAGCTATACAGGTTATGTTCAAGACTGGTTTCACTCACATTTCTTTTTTAAAGAGCAAATCTCGTCCACCTGATGGCTTGAACTGGAGGTAACCACAGGTACCTATGGGGACAAGTATACCTTCTACTTACTGCTGACTTTTCAGCAGCTGCATTATGCCTGCAAGTGGATGTTAAGTAAGATGAAAAAGAAGACTCGTGGAATACACAGCGCACCACAATCAAAGTGTCCTACAACCAGAAGGAGGATTACCACATTCATCCCAGAAAAAAATGGTACTGCGCTACCCTGGACCCTTGCCACTTCTCTAAGGAATATGTAATCACTGACTATGCCAAATTATGCAGAATGGCCCAGGAGAATGGGAATGGATGGCTGCTCTCTGTCCACTGACAGCATCAGCGTGCTGCCTGAGCCAAGATTTTGTTGGCTTTACGATACATACTTCAATTAGTTGAATGAGCAGCTAGAAAAAGCTTCTCAAGATCTTCAGTCAGAAAATACCTATCTCAGAGGCAGATCTTACCATCAGGAGTATTTAATGAAATCCAAAATGGTGAGAAAGTTCCAAACTGCATCAGTACTACTAGTATTGGAAGGTATTGTCACTTGCTGACAGAGAGGAACCACATCATGTTTAAAATCAGATCATGTTTAAAATGCCATCTGGGACGTATGATTTTTTTTTCTGTATTAAGTCACTTCATCATTTGCTTCTGGTTCTATTACTGATTTTAGGCATTTAGGATTAAGAAAGAATGTGAGATTGTGGCAGTTCCAATGGAGGCAGAAAGAAGTTTTCACTTGGATAATAATAAAGCCTTAGCAGAGTTCTGAAAATAATGCCTGGTGTCTCAATCTGACTGCTTCTCCACCACGAGTGCTGTCATCTGTGCAGAGAATCTACTGATGGCTTTTAACTGGAACAACATGCTTACAGAACTAGCAGTTTTGCCACCACTGAATACCTTCTAATTTATACACATACTCTTACATCAGCTGTATATTCAGCAGATGTAAGAATCAGTACTGAAGTTTCACATACTGCGACATCCAGGAGGCAAGACTAACAGATTCTAACAGTCTCTTCTTGCCCCAGAACACCTCTAAATCTGCATGATTCTGCATTAAATAATCTGCCATTCACTAAACATATGTCAGAAAACAAACCTTAATAGATTTTTCTCCAAAGTTTTCTTGCTGTTTTTCCAAACAGGGTAATCTCAACTTAAAACCAGCTCATATAAGATATCTAAGAAATTTTGGCTTGTGACATCAGTCCTAACAGTAGAAGTGATTTGCTGCAGTGTTTTTTTAATAGGAAAAATGTAAGAAAATCAACCTGACAGGAAAAATGCACAGAAAAAGAGTCAAATGATCTCCTGAAAAGACAGAGATTGAAAAATATGGTAAATATACTGCTGCCACTTGCCAACTGGCAATAGTCAATTAAACCTACTTCAACATAGTGTCTGCTGGTTAGAAATATTTCCCAGGCTATAAAGCTGGTGAAGGTAGCACATTACAGACTGCTACACATACTGCTGGTAATTTTCTTTATGGGAAGCCCAAAAGATATTCAACAGCACCGCCTACACATGGATGTCCAAGCTTGGTGTTTTACTAGAATCAAAGACTGGCAAAATCACAGAAATACTTCACTTGAGCCAAATAAAATCCTTCAGAGAGAGATGCAGTTTCAGTTGTGTTTTCACACTCTCCTTTTGCTCAAGCCCAACTATGACTTCCTGTAAGTTTGCTTTGTTGAAATCTCAAGATCTTTGTTCACTAGTCATGCACTCTAACAAACTTCCATGCCACTTCCAGGTTGAACAGTGCTCTGGACAAATAGCTGTAGCCTTTTAGGGTAACTCTGGAAGTTTTGTTTTTCAATCCTAGCCAAAGTAAAATCAAATACTGAAAAGCCAATGTACTTGCTTACAAATGGAAATCCTTGTTTTTCTTCACTCATCTCCTACAGAGAAACGTAACTAAATGGTCATGCAGCTGTGCACTTAAAACCACGTACTTACATTATTCAGTGTACTGGTTACTTCCCATCCCGTTTTTGCTGCCAAGTATGTCAGTGTAGCTATATTGCTGTAACTCATATATGCCTGAAATTTAAGATATATTTCTGAAAATGAATGGTAAAGGTACAATACACAATACAATTCCAGAAATGAGATGATCTTTTTTTAAATCATTATCCTTGAACTGCAAAAAAATGTACATTTTCCCATAAGAGTTTCCCTTCTGGAAAGTCCAGCAGTTTCTGAATTAAGTATCTTCAGTAAGAAGAATAAGTGCTCACATGGCTGATGGCAAAATAACCCTAATTGAACAACTACAAAATACCACTTTGGGCGTCTTCAATAACAAATCACTGCAATGAAACTGTGACCACCCAAAAGCTAATACAGGTAACCTCTGAGACTGCCAAATTAATGGTTTTGTCCATCTTTCTTCTAACTAATTAAAACCTACTGGAAAATTAGCCTTCTCATTGCTATCAAGCTGTGATCTACCAGGGCAGTTGCTTTACAAAGCAGGCTCAGAACAGAGAAAGCGCAAACATATCTATTATTTATCATGACTACACTGGATAGAGCTCTCTTTTAAGCTCTGTAAAAAGAGAACAGAGCTTCAGAGTCGTTAATGACAGGTTTTAATTTAATACCAAATACATCTAAGTATCTCATTTTTAGCAGTGAGTGCACAGTTATGTTTATTGTCTTGCAGAAAACAAATGCTGTGCAATATTAAGATTCCATACACAGAGATTCCACTGTTAATAGCAAATCACCTCCTGGATTATAATTCTCAATTATTTATTTACTTTGAGATGTAATAGAAAAAGATCTTGAAAATATTTCTGGGAGCCACTGAAAATTTAAATGCAATGAAAATTTTACTACAATTCCATGCTGAAACAACATTTTGGATGTGCTCAAATTCACCTAAGCTCAGATTCACCACTTTTTAGCTTATGGCACTGGCAGATTCTATGGCCTTGCATATCCAAGTCACAAAACACATACCACTTTAGGCAGAGCATCTAGGAATTAACACATTTTCATCTTTATTTCCCACAGAAGTGAAGTTTACCTTACTTCACTGTTCACCTGACTGTTCATATTGCCAGGTCTTTCCCCCAGCTCATTAGACATAATAAAACCCCACAAGTTCTGACAGCTTTTTAAAAGAGAGGCACACTGGGACATAAATCTTCAGGAGACCTGTCTTCATTACAGCTCTGCTACTTAAGAGACTATCTGATAAAAGAGACACATTTTATGTTCTGTACAAAATTTACATCAACAGGTAAGATCCTTTTAAGAATAAAAGAAAGTTCATTTTATCACAAGCTTATTGATTCTTCCACAAATAACACAATACTTTGGTACAGCAGGTACAGTGTGGAAACTGACAGGGTCTTTTACAATTCTTTTACACACTCAAAAAGTGTACACTATTTTATTCAGGTAGAGGGTAGGACACAATCTAAAGATCACCTGGTTGCTTTTCTCCCACAGATCATAAGGTTTGTCTTCTTTAGCAGACAGCATGTATTTTCTACAACAAAGTTAAAAGAAAAAAAGCAGAATGAAACAGTTATTTACACCTTTTTTTTTAAATATATATGCCCATATCAACCAGTTCTATAGGGTTAAGCGTCTTCCAAATGCTTCACAAATATTTTACATTTCCCAACTGCAGGACAGGTTTGTGTAACTCCTTTTTTTTTTTTTTTTTTTTTCCCAAAGAACATGGGGGAAACAAAAATAACCCCAGGAACAAAATGCTTATGGGATGAGTAGCCCCTAATAATTAGATACAACTAAGGCAGAACAGTCTGGATAGCTAAACAACATAATAGTTACGTTTGAGCAAACTTAAGACTTCTTAACAAATAATCACTTTTTAGTGGACATACTGAAAATGAGTTTCCAAAATTAAATTTTCCCTGTTGTTCAACTGTACCTGGCTAGTCGAATTCTCTTTCGGGCAATAGCTCCATGGTATCGTCTCACACTGTCCTTTACAAAGTCAACCAGACAATGACACATCTGATTATTTTAAGGGACACATGTGCATACAAAACAAATAAACAAAACAGACTAACTAAAAAATATAACAGATGGACAAACGCCAGCAACGCATTATAATTATATAAATAACTGTACTCCATATGTTGAACTTTCCCCAGATTGACCTGATTCAGTGGTTTACTTTTGACTTGACAACATTCCCTTAAGTGACAAAATCAATCCAATTAAAAAAATCATATCACAGCAGCATACTCCTAGCACTTTAGTGCTGATGCGGGGGCAGCCATGCAGTGTATCACAACACATTCTACTCCTTCTAAAATGTGGCACCTAACAAAACAAACTGTCAATCCAACTCACCACCATCAAGTGGTGCCAGACACGTGGAAGAATTTCTGTGTCAGTGCACAATGACCTAGGGCACAGAGCAAGCACAGTGCAAACAGATGTGCCTTGCCTTTCAAGGCAGCAGGTTTTTCCCTTCCTTTACTACTCCTCTGCCAGGGAGTATTTTTTTCTGAAGCATGGAAGTGACCCAAGAGCAGAAATTGAACTAAACTGCTCAACAGGACTCATCACTCTGAAGAATCTAATACTCTGGAAAGAACTTTTTGTTTCCTTTAAAGAGCTGAAAAGATGCTGCTTTTACTAGAATAAGCAGAATCTCTGGATTAGTGCATCTCAACCTTTCTTATACTGCAAACTAATAATTTCAGCTGCCATGTTCAGTCTAATAACCAGTGAAGTTTAAATAACCTTGAGCGTACTTTCCATTTTCCCTAGACTTGCTTGTTTGACTGTATGTGAAAGGGTATAGATCTTCTTATCTTGACATTCAATTTGTGGATGCCCTCTCTAAGCCAGGTCTTTTAAGGAAGCACTGTTCTACTGGCACAAGTTAAGATGCTGTGGGCTTTTTTCCCCTATTTTTTAGAAGAGTGGGAATCAGTCTGTCCTCTGGAAACAGTCCAAGAGTGAAGCAGGAGTGAACCTTATGACTTCACCTAATACACTGGATACCTTAATGTTTAAGAATAGTTTCATTTCTGCCTACACTGGTTTCTAAAAATCTCATTAATTAGAGCATTTGGTTAATGACAGGTGATAACAAATAATTCAAGAACAGTGTTTGTACTGCTCTCATTGCCTAGTGAACCTCTCTCAGGGAAACACATGCTTCTGTTTCCACACCAAAAGAACTAGAAAGCCTGCCTGTGTCATGAGATTTGATTCCCAAGGTTTTCTACTAACTCTATTTCTCATCTTCCTTAAGAGTTTCTAAAAATAAGAATTCATTTAACATTTCTAAGCTTTGCCAGTTTCTTGCTGTCTGGGCATCTTCTACAGTCACTGGAGACTAAACAAGAAAAGTGGAAAATATGCACAGCAGATACTTCTCTCTTCATTCCCTCACTACAGAAGTTCTAATGATGACTACCCTTCAATGCACTTGTCCATTTTGGATGTCTAAAGTAATAACAATTAATTTTGCAATCAGAGGTAAACACTTCATTTATAGGCTTTGTATGCTGCAAGAGGAAGTATTCCATTGTCTTATTTAGCCCTTCCTTTCCCAGTAAGTCTGCAGTGGCCACTTGTGTGACATGCAGTGTGCTAAGCAGGACCACATAATTCCATGCATACATTCGTTCTAGTAGAAGGATAACAGCTGACCTTAGTAATAGGTTTGATTTTGGGGAAAGTGACCAGCTCGCCTCTGTCATTCACAGAGTTAAAAATGAGAAATGCACTGTTAATATGTCGTGCTTGGTTCTTGATCCATTCTTCACAGTTATAAGCCTCAACGCGGACACCAACCTCCACACTGAAATAAGAGCTCAAATTAATCACTGAACTACCACAAATGATGCAAAAGTAGCCCCAAGATATACTAAGAAGGACTGCTGAACACTTTTCCTGTGTTCAAAAAGCTGTACTCAAATACTTCCTGCAAGAAACAAATAAATTATTCTGTATGGACAGATGCTTTTCAGAGATAAATAAAATAAAATAAAATAAAATAAAATAAAATAAAATAAAATAAAATAAAATAAAATAAAATAAAATATAAAATAAAATGTGACACTAGACAAATAGAATTAGTAAAAAGAGTAGAATTTGAGCTAAATAGCAAAATATAAACACCAGTGAGAAAACTGAGCAAAAATTAGCAGGACAGCATTTATTTTACATTCAGCAGAAGCATAACATGAAGAGGCTACCTTCCTGTATGCACAGACCAGGGGATGAGAGTAGCCCTGAAGAAAGGAATCTGGGGACTCTGGTGACAGGAAAGTAAATGTGGGCCAGCAGTTGTCCTGGCAGCCAAAAGGGCCAACTGTACGCTGGGGTGGATAATGCACATATATAAGCACATATGTGTAGATCTTTCAAAGTCCCATTTGCAAAATACTTCATTCAGTAAGGCAAAGCCAACTACTAGATAAAAATCTGAAGCATGCAGTTAGGCAGGTGCTGGAGAATTCAAGGAATAAGTATATGAAGAGCTTTACCTATTTTGAAATGTATTGTTCACAATTGCATTGAAGACAAGGCGGTCACCCACAACAGATGGACCCCAGAACTTAAACATATTGACAGATTTCAAGATGGGATATGAACGACAAAGGCGACTGAAAAAGAAAAAAAAGAGGCAGAGAGCAAATTATCCAGTCACATTAAAGAATCACCTTTGTTAAGTCTAAAGTCAGCAGTGATTAAAGTATACTCCATAACTCACCAAAATGCAGCTAAAGTGTTCAGCTCCAACAGCATTTAATTCAAGCTTCAAACATAATACTACTACCAATGCTACACTGTTTCATTTCCAACACACTTTACAAATACTAATTAATTCTCACCGTTTGTTTGGTACCAGCTCATGAATACCTTGCTTTCAGAGCAACCACGTACCTCACAAATAGTTTCATTAACTTCTGCATTACTGCATGGGGAGTGGGATGATGCTCAATATGCAAAAATGCTAAATCATAAAGCCTTTAAGCAATGAAAGAAACCTGAACAGAAATGATGACCTACTCTTGTCAATACATTTTTGTTTTTTTGTTAAATGCTTTCTGCTCATTTTATATAAATAAGAATAAAAAGCTACTAATAAAACCAAGTGCACATGTATAGTTTTAATTAGCACACACAGTGCTATAGCAAGATGATAATTCAATTCCTTACCAATACAGAAACTCTGAACTGTTTAGTTAAATAATAATAATAATAAAAGATTCTCTTTTCTTGCGTCAGACTTGATACATACTGTATTCAACTACATGCTGTCAGTTTGAGCTGAGTTGTTTTATTCATTTTTTTCAAACTGCCTGTGATGTTTTATGGTCGAATTTTTCTGGTTTAGTATTGAAGATTGTACTCTTTACATGTGCGCATAAGCACAGCTGCTCTTTGAACCAGGGCACCGGAGGAACAGATACCTATCAAACCAAGCTACACTGCTAGAATAATTTTGCCACACGGTGTCATCCACACTAAGGAATTCCAACAACCTAATACTTCTCTGGCACGTCAGAAAAAAATCTGCAGTATGGATAATGCAGGCCGCAGCTGGAGTACTACGTCCAGTTCTGGTCTCCACAGCATAAAAAAGATGCAGATGGATTGGAAATGGTCCAAAAGAGGAGCACAAAGATGATCAAAGAACTGGAGAACCTATGCTGTGAGAAAACACTGAAGAAATGAAGTCTCTTCACCCTACGGAGGTTCTCTTCACAAGGAGTCATACTGATAAGACAAAAAGGACAACAGATGTTGTACTGGGGGAGTTTTTATCTTTATAATTTTTTTTGCAACAAGAATAATCACTGCAGCAACATCCTTGGGGATATGGTGACCTCCATCACCAGAAGCTTTCAAGATGTATTTTGGACACAGCACTAGATAACCTCATCTAAGCTACCTTTTCCGATAACAGCTGGGATTTGATGATCTTTTGAGGACCCCTCCAACCTGGAATACTCCATGACTCTACTGAGTTTAAGAGTTTGTGGAATTTAAGGGCGAAGGTGGAGGGAAGGAGTGTCTAGTTTGCTCTCTAGAGTGGGCAAAGTTTTTGTTTCTTTGGCAGTAGTAAAGTGTAAGTGTAGTAAAGGTCCCACTCTTGGCAGACATTATTTTGTATCACATGAACACCGTCCATGAATGTCACTCATTTTCACACTCTGCTCAATTCCCATGTATGTGTGCAAAACTTCTCAATTAAGAACTGCAGATGCACATCTGAGACAAGATTTCCATTGTGTAGTTTTTATACTTGAAAATACAGTTTTGTAGCATTCCTAGCTTTTAACTCAATTCCACTCTAGAAGCTAACACTGTAGAAGCTAATGTTCCAGTATTGTTAAATGCACACAATTATCTGTTGCTAATTAATTGATTGGTACATCTTTTTAATAGACTAAGACATTCAAATGACTTTGTAATTTCATTAAGAATAACTTGCTCTTCTGATCTAAAACATTCAATAGTTATCTCATTTAGGAAGTTCACAATAAGGCTGCAAATACAGTATTACTGATAATGAAAAAAAAGTAATAAAACAGAAATTTGGCCTAAATATGCTGTTTTTTGAGGAAAGCTATGGCCTGAGTACTTCTGGAAGTTTAAGACATAAAAGTGACTAATCTGGCTCAAACTAATATTTGGATGGCTTTACTACTATCTGTAAGATTTTCATCCATCATCCAGGCAAAAAAGAGGGAGGAGAAGGTAAGTAACCTTTCAAATGTCCCTACAAATTTACTTTTTCAAGTGTTAGCCCTCCTGCTCCATTTCTCTGTCAAAATCTGTGGCCACAGCAACTCTTAACTGGCACCTTCAAAGGTCACATTTAATTACAAGTGGTCTCAGAGAAGGTTTCTAGGAAAACTAGCTGCTTCTCAAGCAGAAAATACAGTATCACTGGTTTCAACCATCCTCTGTCATCAGTTATTAATCTTGAAATTTTCAACACAACAAAGCATGTATGACACTCATTATTTCAATGACAATATTTTCAACATTTGCTTTGCTGATGTTTCCCTTCACTTTATGATTCTCAGTAGGTCAAACTTACCAAATCAAAACAAACATTTTGGGTCAAATTATGGTACAAATCTGAAGCCTTTGAAGCCAATGAAATTACACAAAAGTAGGTAAGGTCAGTGCATTCTCATGTTAATAAAAAAAGCAGTTCTAACTAAGGAAAGCATGTAGGTTGCTCCAAAAGTAATGTCTCCTATTTATTTCCAGGGAAACTACAACAGATATAAACAGTACAACAACACTATTTGATAGAGAAAATTCTCATCTACAAAACACCATTTCTCAACATAGTCAACATGCATTTTCAATAGTGATGAACAAAAGTCTGCATGCAGCACTCAGAACAATATGCATAGGCATCTGGAACATGGTTTGACCTTCATGTTGCTGTCATCACTGCTGAAAGGTACCACCCTCCCCTCACTGTGCTCAAATCCACTGGCTGGTTTCCATAAATGCTCAGAAAATGTCAATAAATGTCAGTGGGCGTCATTTCTTCCCGCATGGAGGAATTCACTTACACACTTTTACTTCATATGCACTTCCATGTCAGATGCTCCTCTGCTCCCATCTGTTGTACAGAAACAAAATGTAACAGTACTGGCAGGAAGATTCAACATCGACTGCCATACCATCAACATCAGTCTCTGGTGACATGGGCCAATATAACAAAATATGAGGCATTACTTTCAGAGCATCCTCCATAGATTCCTATCAGTACAACTACTGTCTCCAAGTCAGAAATACATGAATAAGGAATGGGAAAGTAATTTAATTATTAAAGTTAAAAAACAAAACAAATCTAACATCCCTACAGTGAAATAGGTCACTTGGTACGCAAGAAGAATTGAAACTGAAATTCAAGAGATGCTTACAAAGAAGCTCTGTATACCGTCCAAGAACAAGGAGGAAGATAAACAACAGCTCAAATTCAGAGGAAGAAGAATTTAATGACAATACGACCAGGCCGTAATGACAAGCAATACTAGACAGTGTCACAAAAATATTTTGTACTTATTACCTCTACATGTCAAAGCAAATTACACTACTAAAAATATCAGAACCCACAGGATGTGGGACTTAAATGGGCTGAAAGGCTAGGCGACTTGTGGAGGTTAAACATCCAGTCACTGTGTGCATCAATAAAAAAGAACCTGTTTCTTCTGATTCTTCTTCTCTGACTTATTCTTTCCTCTGCTATAAGGATTTGCAGACCGCCATTTAGAAGTCTATTTTTGGCTATCCATTGATATAGGGCTGGTAAGAGTTTTATTATGACTTAACAACCGCCACTGCTTTTAAAACACTGCACCAACCACAAGGAGAGTGGGATTCTGTTCCTATTCCTAGTGTTGACTTTCTGCAGGGAGTTTCAGGCAAATAATATAGCCTCTTTTGCCTTAGGGCCTGCATGTAAAACAGAGTGAAAAAACATGACTCAAACAGTAGTGTGGCATGCTGTGGTAAATGTACCACATAACCTGCTTAAAGACCTCCTGCAATCTTGAGAAGAAAAGGCAAGAAGATTTGGATCTGCTTTCTTCATGTAATAAATCCCACTGAAACCCTAAATATCAAATTGGAGGAATACATCCACTTAGAAACATATACAAAGACTATGATAAAGAAAGTACCTTGCTGAAATACTTGCCACTGTCTCCATCCAAGCCATGATCTGACCACCAAAAGTGTTTCCATGATGGTTTGCATGAGGAGGTTGCACAAGCTCAATACTCTGTACATGAGTAAGGTCAGCTGAAATCGCATCTTCCTCTGCAAAAGTATCTGAAATATAGCAGCAATGTATGATGAATTATTTCAGCTATTAACTCTGATAGCCAAAAGGAAAATACTCCCAGTTACTGAAGCGTGCCATTTGCCTCAGATACACTCAAAAGGAAAAATGAAAAAAGGGGCAGCAAGACAGTGATGATTTGTTCTGTTCTACCATGCTAGCTAGAGATGGTGGATGGTGCAGACCTGGGTCTATGACTATGACAGCACAGTGATCCTTCCTTCCTAGGCTATCTTATCTGAAGATGCTGCATCAGAAGCAATAACTGTGAAGCTTGGTTAGTTGAGAACACATACAGCCAACTGTAAGAGTCTGTGCTTGCGTTATTCATGGTTGCTATGCGTAACTTCTAATGGATATTGTTAAAACTATTTATCACTTATTCAAATGCTTTTCACAGACTTTGACCACCATGTGTGATAGGCATCTGTGCACATGTGTTTAATTAAGTTGGAGTATTGCATGACTATTTCATAACCTGCTTCTTACAATTTTTTCATTATTAGAAACACTATAGAAGGCATAAAATAAGGAAAGAACACATATCTGAATTAATAACAACCTTCTGTTACTCAAGTATTTCCAATTCCACTTTCAAGTGACTAATCACTTTGCTTTTTCAGTTATATTTTTAGAGAATGCTCTGAGGCATGAGATGTCAGTAATTTACTAAGTGCACATCCGTAATACTTGCTACTTGACCTGAACTGTACTTTTGAATTTTGCCCTAATTAACTGGCTTTATGATTATATAACTGCGTGGACACATTTGACTAACCTGAACTTTGGAACTGCTTAAGTTGTTTCATAACACCTATTCAGAAGACAAACTTCACTTTCTGCATATGCTACCTGAAAATATCTAATGCAGTATTTTCTTCTCTCTCCTGTTACGCTCATTCTGCCTCCTGAAGTAGGTGAATTTGTGCTTATCATAAGGCCCTTCCAGAAAATTTCTAGGCAAGGCAAGGCAAAAACAGCATCTCTGATCTGTCTTTCATGGGGCTGAGCCACTTTCTATGAGGTAATTATCAGGAGACAAACACTTTTTTTCTTGTACTAGTCTCTACACAATCTTATTAAAACAAGACTATAATTTGTATTTAAAAGATATTCCATTTTTCCTTAATAAAGATAAATGCTAACTATTGTTTTTATGTAGTTACAGTTCAGAATTTCAAAATATGAGCAGATTTCTTAAAAATTTGTTAGTAATTTCCTTCATGTCCTTTTACATAGCAACTTTGGAGTACAACTGCTTTTAAGAAAAGATATTTCCACCAGAAATAAATATTGTTTCTTGTCTGAATTTTTCTAGCTTGGTCCTGAGGAATTTAAATGTTTTTAACCTGTTATAACAATCACATAATGAAGAATTCTCTGCATGTTGGAAATATCTCTCAGCAGGAACACAGTTCTCAGTGCTTTCTTCCACAGTCATACTCATGAATAGACTTTATCCTTCTTTCTACCTTATAACTAGTCCTATAGGACTTTATTACTGTATTGCAAAGTTCTGCACGGACTGTTAAAGCCTACACATAATCTTTAAGAAGATCTGCATTTCACACCTATTCAACATGTGCTTAGCCTTTGGTCCTGCATTTTAAATCTGACATTTCTGAAAGAAATACTATTATATTAGTGCAACTATCCAACACAGCATCACAAAGTTGGCGCACTCTTTACAATCTAACACCACCACCTCAAGAAGCTATACTCAGATGTTTGAACTGCTCCAAAAGTTATTTATTCCATGTTCTGTACTGTCCATAGTAGTCACCTTCTTTATCACTCTCCTGCATTAGGTTCTGAAAAACCTCTTGGTAGCCCAGTCGGATTCTTTTCCTTTCAGTAGCCAGGGCATGCTCCAGATGGTCTTCTGCAGACAGAAGCTTTACAGGTTCTAATTCAATCTATGCAAATTAAAAAATAATAATTAAAAAAAAGGCTCTTGATTCTACAGTCATACTGTGCACTTCGAACTCAAAATACCATCAGCATTTTCTATAATCTTTTTTATCAATTGTCGAAGATGACACGTCTGATTAATACAAACAAGCACAGAGCTAAAGTTCAAGGGATTCTGCGTTATCTTTTCTGAGTCATATGTTAAAACCCAATGACATTCTTCTAGCTTTTATATGTACTTATCCATGATAACACATGCAGTTTAAATAAACAAACATACAAACAAACAAATAAATAAGAAAAAAAAAAAAAAAAGACCTTAATATATCACTTGTGTGATTTATTTACAAGATCAGGCTCCAGAAACCTAAAAATAACACACAGGCTCTGTAACACAGACAATACCAATATTTTGTGTCATGTGGTAGTGCTGCCATTATTTCTCACTCTTAGAGTCTTTACTCAAAATGCTTTTTTAGTTTGCTTGTCTCATCTCTGATCTTACTCAAGAGCTTCCTAGCCTTTTCCAAATGTCTCAGCTGGAAGATGGTAAATGTATGCTGTTGCTCTCTGCACAGCTTGGCAACAATTGCTCAGAAAAAAAGGGCTTGAAAAGAATGTTCTTTAATTTCCCCAAGATATTAATTTCCAATGGAATTAGAACTGAAGTCTTAAATTCTCTCTGGCAGTCCTGTCTTAAACCTAGTCGTAGTTAATCATCACCAACTCAATCCTGAAATAACCTCCCTGGAAATTTGGGCAAAAGGTAAATGGGTTAATGCCATGGCTATGATATAAAATGTTTAATAAACAATCTTTACTTCATAACATGTTAGTGCTTTCAGATTAACCAATTTAGCCATTAACCTTTCAGAGGTAAACTGAGCTTTACTTTTGGTAAAACAGTTCTGAAATGTTTCTTCAGCAAGTTGTCATGTATTGTTGCAGAAAAGAAAAGAAATGGCTGGGGTCCTGAACGATCAGGTGGGTGGCAAAGATGCCAATGGCAGTGGGTTGGAACTGAATGGGCTTCAGGTCCCTTCCAACCTAAGCCATCCTGTGATTCTGTGATTATATGATTCTGTGACTCTATGATTCTGTGACTACTCTCCACCATCTCCAGTCAATATTTTAAAAAGGCATATGCATTTTTATAACACATTAAAAGAGTCAAGAAAATCAGAAATGAAATATGATTCTAGCAATTTGTGTTAGGAAGCTGACTATGTACAAAGGAATTTATTAAGAAGATCTGAAGAGTATACAGCCTCTCACACAGGAAAATATTAGAAGAACAGTGCCTGCTGAGCACAGCAATGGGAAACAGGCCGGACAGTACCATGACTGACTGCTGACATGTCTAGGGGGCTAGACACTGAGGAGAATAAACAACAGTGGCATGAAGCTATTTAACATAAATGCTTAATAATTAATTTACACTGGAAGACAGCTTAAAAAATTTCTTCTGTCTGAATAGTGGTGACTTTGAACAATCTCTTCAAAAGAGGTGAAGAATGAAAAAGAAAAAATAAATACATGAACTCCCCCAATCCCTCTCATGTATGTAAATCAGTTTCTGAAAAGGAGAGAGATGGTGCAGACTCAAAGGAATTTTTATTCTATGCATATGTCTGTCAACACTGAGCCCTTATAATGGCACCACTACTACTAGTAAATGTGCAACACTAAGTAGAAAAAATTATAAAAAAGCTAAGAGTTTCAGAGTGGTTGTGGAAAAAGCACTTTCCTTATTGTCAGGGTTTTATGCTGCTTTTCTGCTATTAAACAGAATAAGCTCCTATCTGTGTTTTCCCATGTTTCACAATACAAAATTTGGAATATTTCAGAGAAACTTGGTCCCAACTTCAACCACAGAACAAAACAGAAAAAATACCTTTTCAGCACCAACTGGCTTGACTACATACGTTGCATATGCCACACTCACAATTTTTTCAACATTAGTCAAAACATCCTGCACTGTAACGTTGATGCCAACCTACAGGGAAGGAGGTAGTGAGACAAAGGGACGAAAATTTAATTACACTACTGTCAGTTGAATTGAGATAAAGCAGCACACTGTGTATCAAATTAATCACATCCTATCTCTTAAACCTAAAGGAAGAACAAAAGTAAAAAGACTGATCTGCTATCACTTATAGACCTCCGAACATTTACGAATATCAGTATTCTCTGACCTCCAAAAAGTTTTTAGTACATGGATGCTTTCTATCAGTTACAGGTAAAATAAAAAGTAGGACAGACATTTAGTTTATGGATATCTAATTACTAGCGTATCGCTTGGAGTTCTCATCAAAATCTACTATATGTACGAACAATTAAATCTTTATAAACATGCAGAACACTTGAAGAAATTCATTTGAACCTCCGAAAAAGGCCTGATGTGCATCAAACCTTCTGATGTTTTATTTTTAAATTGTGTTTTAAATTATTCTTCTAGAATATGCATAATTCCCATTGATATTAAGAAAAACTGGACTTGGGCAGAAGTCAGAGAAAAGTATCCTTAAGGCTTAATTCTCAGTTCAAGTGATTGCACAATGCATTGTTACAATATGAAGAACATGCACTCCACTGAGAAAAATATTCCCATATCACAAGTTTCAAATATCTTTACAACTCCACATATTCAGTAGACCCTGGCTTTGATCCAAAGACTCCTTTGAGGCTAATAACTTAGGACTGGACTAACACCATCTATCCCATCCTGTCCATAATATCTGCCAAATATTCTAAGTCTTCAGGGCCTAGTTTCTACTTCGACATGGATTATTTAACAGGCAACATGGAATTATAATAGTCATTATAAAACTAGAGTTTCATTAGGCGGTGCTGTTTTTTATAGATCTGTAGAAAGCACCTTCTGAAACTAGTAAGGCTGGGCCCTTGCTGCATTCCTCCTTCCATCTCTCTTCTCTGTACCTGAAGCATCATTATGTGGTAATACAAGTCGTCATCTCTTACCTCCATGCTGGTTTTGAATGCTCTGTTCACCTTTGCTTTGATGGTAATAACTTGTCCAACTCTGTTAAGAAGAATAAAATCTTTTTATGGTGTGTAATCATGTAGCTTAATAATGGTTTGCAACTCCCTTCCTCTATAGGTATCCATGATAGTAGAGAAGAAAATCACTGAATGAAACTGTCACTAGCTGTGATCAGTTTGTACCTTCTACAGGGGACTGCAAATGCAGTGAAAAAGGTTAAGTGCAATTATTTGTAAGCCAGGCTTCAATCATACTCAACATCATGCTCAATAATGATTTCAGTCACTCAGAAAACTGCATAAACTTATCAATCAGTATCCCTGGTATGCTCAGCACGCCAGTCCTTAAGACTAGATTCTGCTTTTGCTCAAAGGCATATCTTGCCACAAGTTGAACCAAGTTACTGAGTATATCTAACTGCAAAACTGCACGGGATATGCTCTATATACATTCTCTAGCATACACACACACACAAACACTAGGAAATACTTCCAGTTTGTTCTCCATTCCCAAGTGCTCTTTTAAGTTTTTGAAGGATGTAGAAGGAGTTTAGTTTCTGTGTTCTGGACGTGCAGGGCTGCAGCAGGCCCCTTCTGTCCTAGCAGCATGTTTCTGAACAACCACTCCTCTTTTTCATTTGTCTACACAGAATATCTAAGTAGAATAATATATTTTCATCTACCATAAAATAAATTGGCTAGGAAAACATATTCTTTCCTTACGGAACTTCCAAAATGCTTCTTACATACTAAGACAGACTCTTATTTCTAATATCCTGATACTAGGCAAAGTTGAAAGAAGGCAGCCTCCCCCATAGCTGTCTTATTGAGCATCTTATTGATATGCATGGTGAGAACCACAGCTGAAATAACAGGCCACTGACTCCATAGAAATCAGACTGACTAAAAGCTGCTAAGGAGCAGACCCAGAGCAGACAGAGTGCAGCAGGCTACATCCATGACAGTCAGATGTAACTTGACAGAAATTTGCAACTTAAGAACTTGGCACAGTATGACCCCAGTTTATTTAAATATATATATATTTATTGTTTGTTCCTAATTTAATGAATAGGGTTTTGATGTGTAAAGCTATGCCTTTTCTTAAACTACTTCTCTTACTCCCAGAATTTCAAGCAAGTTGTTTTCAAACTCTACAATGGAAAATAAGAAACCTGTTCGTTACAGAACCAGACAAGAAGAATGAATTGCATACAGATTTTCTCTTTCTTGTTCACATTCAAGAATGCAAGTGGGAGCCTTTGTATAGACAGAGAAAAAAGTGGTTACAGGTATGATTTAGGACCTTTTGCAGACACATAGCTTTTCAAGATATGTGGAAGCTTTTCTACTATTAACATAATTTCAGGTAATCACCAATTAGAAGTTTAACAGAAGAACTGATGAATTCTGGCCTGACACAGTACATATGTACAGCCTGGGGGACGAGAGGCTAAGAGCAGCTGTGCAGAAAAGGATCTGGGGCATCTGGTGGCAGCGAGGTGAATGTGAGCCAGCCGCGTGCCCTGGCGCCCAAAGGCCAGCCGTGCCTGGGGTGCATGGGGCCCGGCGCTGCGAGGGCAGGGGTTGTGCCGCTGTGGTGCTCTGCGTTGTGCGGCCTCACCTCCAGCGCTGCGTGCGGGCTGGCGGTGTGAGAAGGATGCAGAACTATCAGAGGGTGCCCGAGGGGGGGCTGCAGACGTGAGAAGGATATGCAGGGAAAGGTGAATGGGTTTGCTCAGCACAGAGCAGAGGAGCTGAGGGGAGACCTGATGGCGGCTGCAGCTCCTCACAGGGAATGGAGGGCAGCGCTGAGCTCTGCTCTGTGACAGCGACAGGCCCGAGGGAACGGCGTGGAGCTGCGTTCAGGGGAGGGCAGCTGGGGGTGAGGGAAAGGGTCTGCACCAGAGGGCGGTGGGCATGGAACAGCTCCCCAGGGCAATGGGCACAGCCATGAGCTGCCAGAGTTCAAGAAGCGTTTGGACAGCACCCTCAGACACAGGGTTTTGGAGTTTCCTCTTTTGGAGCTAGGATTTGGACCCTGATGGTCCTTCTTCCCCTGAAGATTCTGCGTCTACCACATACTCCCAAGAGGACTACAGTAATATAGTAATAAAGGTAATGAGAAGCACAAGGTCAAAAAAGATAAACTCAGTAGATAAACTCGACTATGGCACACTCTATTAGCAAGTATGATGCTTTTCTCTAAAAAGAGTCAGGTCAGAGAGTTGTGGACAACATCACGGTACCTGTGAACAACATTGTGTTGCCAGATTGTCCTCAAGGTTGCCTGCCTACCAGAGACTGTGTGAGTCTCTACCCCAAAGAGCGCTTCACTATTCTCCACAAAAGATTGTTTCAGACCTTTGCTAGTAATACCTCCCTGGTGACTCTTCTTTCTCTTTTTGAGAATACTGCATAACAGAGATTATGCTGGAGAGGTAGGACTGAGTCTGTTGATGTTTGAGGAACTGCAGAACTTGAGGGAAGTATATAACAAAGTTGGATGTGATCTCACTCAACCTGAGCAGTTAGACTTGCAACAAGACAGGTTTGGATTTCAGAGACATTAGACTGCCTGACTGACTTACATCTCCCCTGGTACTCTGGTCTGTCTACCTCGACTCACATTTCATTGCAGAAGCGTGTCCTCTGGGATTCTTGGTCATATCGGAAAATAAAGATGTCAGAATGGAGATTGTAACGCAGCATGATCAAGAAATGTCTTTCTATGTACTTTGCAGAGCTGTTTCAAATGAAATTTTTTACACTATATCATGTATTCTGTCTTTGGAAAAACCAATTTATCTAAGACAAGACAGCTGATTAGCTTGGGCAGAAGTCATAGAACATCACACTTTCTCTTGTAACTGGCAGGAGGAGACTGAAATCTATCAGAACAATTCAGAGCATTAGTGAAAGTGAAATGTCATTTAAAGTCAGATTTTCTTACGACCACTGAGCTGCTGCATTTTAAAAGACAAGAAAGAAGGATTTATTTGTTATCATGGCATAAAGCTGAGTTTAGCAATATATGGGTGCACAATGAGAAGTTGTGTTTCCAAGCCAATTGACAAGATATAAGCACAGAACAGTTAATCCCTGTAGAACATCTGGGAATCTGAGTTAGGTGAGTTAAGTTACAGCCAGTAACTTAAAATTTATAAAATACAAGAGCTCTCCTACTCACAATATTTGCATAATCTGGTGAAGTTTTAGAAATGTTAGGGCTGACCTGAGGCTGAAGAATAATTACTGAAATGACTTCACAGTTACTAGGTTTGTGCATAACTTAATGTTAATAATGAAAAACTGGCATTGTAAGTGGAAGTAGAACAAGAAAAATAGTTAAACAAATTGGGAAGGACAGTATCTTCTTTAGAAGTTTGGGTCTGCTTTCAGAAACAAGTCTGAAGCTACTGAAGTCTGAAATACTGTGCCAGAAAGAAAAACATTGCCCTGATTCACTTGCAGACCCTGTGATTACAGTTTTCATGAACAGGCTATTTTTCTTAAAGAAAATTTTAAAACCACAAAACAAATCCAATTAAGACAAACATTTTAAAGCTTCTTGTACAACAGATGAAGAACACACTGTGATTTCAACATGACCATATTCACCCACTGTACTACCACTTCAGGTTCTTTGAAGCCACTAGTCTAAAAATCTGTTGTTTAGCAGTGTGAGTGGATGCTTATTTTACACTCATGTTCTGTTTTCAACTAACAGCAGCTGTACATCTAACAGGCAGTGTTTCTTGGCTTACTATCATGATCACCCCTGCCTGTACATAGGTAGTAAGCAGTTCTATCCCATCTGTGCTATCACTTACATACTCATTAATTTCTAGTTTGTAAGATGCAAATACACAAATGAGAAGTTCACAGACCATTTTTCTTCTTTTGTTTGTGTCTTGCTGCTGCAGTAGCTCACGTTCTGTAATATGACAAACTTCCACACATAGTTTTGCCTATTTATTTGTTAGTAAACCATGGCCTTTACATAAACGGTTCATTACGGCATTAACTACAAGTAATGGCTGTAAGCTCACAGCAAGATAAAGTTTAGGAAAAAAAAATGTGCCATTTCCTCCTACAGTATCTTTTTTATTTCTTGGAAAATCGTGAAAAATGTTTTTTTTAAAATTATTTGCCTTTTAAGCACCATACTGCTTTGTAGACTTAGTAAGTATTAAATAATCACAAATGCAGAACATTTGTGTTGTTATCAGAAGATTATCAAAAGATTTTTTTAGGAAGAGTTGATAGAAAGATGGTGAGAAAAAGCATTTGTGATGCAAATGATAGAAAAAAAATCATACAGTAACTTTTATTGGTGTGTATTCCTTGTCTAGTGAGATAAGTAATATCGTGTAGCATTCACATAAACTATAGCCGAAGATCACTAGGTCTCTGCTTTCTCACCTGGTATCGATGTTGACAGGTCAAATAAGTAAAGATTATTTTGGACTTTAGAAATTGATTTGTTTCTAGTAATGTCAGGATATCACAGTCAGAAAAAAAAGCAATTATCTGGAGACTGAACCCTCTAACTTTAGAGAGTTTATTGGCCCATTTTACCATGATTTTACAATGCCTCAGTTTATCTCTGCCAAATAAGAAGTTCTAAAGTGAAAACATTTGCTGATTGCTAGCCGTTTTTGTACCTGGCAGCCTCTTCAAACTGTATGTCATCCATAGATGCTGTCACACAAGACACACCAGCATGTTTCTCAGCTTCAAAAGAGACACAGGACACAGAGTTACTACACTGCTCCAGCAGCAAGACATTCACCTATACACTCATATTTGTGCATGAGAGACAGAGATGAAACACAGCAGATCCCAGTTTGTCTTGCGATCACCCCAAGGCAAATATGCAGTAGACCCTTTAGAAAAAAAGAGAGCTAAATAAGAGCAATACTTACCATGAAATAAGGGTAGTATCAAGAGATGAGTTTGGATGATTATAGTGATTCTCCTGAGTTTTAAAGTCCTGTTTAAGGTCTTCTGCTAAAAATGGACACTGATATAAGAGAGCTAACAAGCATGTTCCAGGACAAAAAGTATTAGTAGGTCTACAGCACTCCCAGCAATCACCTCAAAACTAGGATGCTGCGAATCTTGGCTATGTTAAATCTGCATAAGGGATTTATGTTACATGAGAATTCCAAGACAAAGGAAAATGATTTACTGCCTTGGTAGCAGGGTAGCAGCAGTGGCAAGCAGGTAAGTGCATCCCCCCAGTGTTGCATTAAAATGCAGGAACTAAATAAAAAAAAATATACAATCAAGATTCAAACATTAAAGTAAGTATTTACTTTGTATAACAATTGCAAAATACTATTAGCAAAATCTGTACTATGCTCTCCATCTCCCCAGGACACAGTTAGTTACATAAACTACCATCTATTTCTATTAATTAGGAAAGTTAACTATAAAAAAGGGCAACGTCTACACTGTTAATATTTGATAGTTCAATAATTATTCTTTTAATAGCAAGTTATTGTGATTTACCATTTATTTGACAACAGCATCTAGAGTTTAATGTCACAGACTCAATCTCCAGCACCTCGGGGGCTGTGCAAACACCAGGAATCCCAACTCCAGAAAGTTTCCTGACTGACAAAGGCTAAAAATGCTGATAGTAGTGCTCTGCCAAGCAGGGAGGGGGTCTCACTCACAAGAAGCCTAACAATATTTTTAGTGATCTGCACAAGAATAAGCTTGGAGGGGTAAGACAGAGGATAGTGCAGGAGTTATCACGGTACCTGAGAAATTCCCTTTTAATTAAAATATGATTGTGAAACACACAAAGGCACTCATGAGGAACACAATGATCCACTCAGGATAAGAGGTCTCTATCGACTATAAGGCTGGAGTTGTAATAGAAGATGATGAATATGACGGTGATAGCTCATCACCTCAAAAGTGGTACAAGCAGCCAGTTGGGTCAAGCCTAAAGCTTGTAGGGCACAGAACACGGGAGTGACACTGGTGCTGGCATGCTGGCAACTGCAGCAGTTGGCACTAGCATTGGGAAAAGATGCTACAGCAAAAAAAAAAAAAAAATCCATATCTGTCATGTTTAGTGTGCTGTGACACAGGACTCAAGCGCTAAAAACCCTCTGTGTGCAACAGGATGAGTGGCATGACCGACTGCTGCTGTTCTAAGACAAATCAAGGAAAAACAGTTAAGGTGGACTGAAAGCAAGCTCCCCAGTCAGTCTGCAGCTAATTAAGATCACAGATTCACTTGTAGCCCAGGGAGCAAGCACCAACTCTGCTGCAGAGCTAGGCCTTAGGGTCTTTCTGTGGTGAGGAGCCTTTCAAAAAGAACATTTTTAGGAGAGAAATAACCAAAAGGCTGAAGACAAAGCAATTCCTTCATGCTATATCACACCTCTCAGCAAACCTGCAGCGGCCCTGAGAAGTGTGCTGGCTGCTGCTCCTGCATCCCACTGCTTTCTCCATCTGAAGGGTTATAGAATCATACAGTCGTTTGAGTGAGAACGGGCCTTTAAGGGTCACCTGGTCCACCTCCCCTGCAAGGAACAGGGATACCTACAGCTACATCAGTGTGCAGAGCCTGGTCCAGCCTGTACATACAGCCGCAAGGCTCCAGCACGGTGCACGCCGGCACAGCCAGCACTCAGCCCCGCACAGCGATGCCATGGGAGCACACTCCCCACATCGTGCTGCTCTCCATGAGGCTTCGTGTGCACGAGTGTAGAGGCTGTCGGCAGATCGTCACCTCCAGAAGCCATGAGAGAAGTGATAAAAGTTTCTGAAGTGGGTGGCTTTTTTTTTACCCGTAAGTCAGGGGTTCTCTTTCCCTTCCTCCAGTACTTCTCACTGTTCCATCCCTGACTTTCCCTCCACTGCCCTCTTTTTCTGTGCTCTCCCCACCCCCGCAGCTCCCTCTCGGACCCACCAGCCCCTCGAAGCGCGAACCCCCGGGCCTCGCGCAGCCCCTTGGAGGCAGAAAGCCGCCCACCCCCGCCGGGCTCGGTGCGTGCGAGGTGCTCCGGGCATCAAACAGTGCCGGGTCGCCTCTCCCATTCGCCCCGCCGCGCTGCCCGGCTCCTCTACCTGCCAGGCAAGCGGTGGCGTCCATCCACTTGAGGAGCTGCCCGGCGCTCAGCTCCCCGCGGTGGTTGGCGTGGGCCGGCAGGACGCTCTGGCACATGGGCACCCATCCGCCCGCCGCCCCGCTCCGCTCCATGCCGCTGTCCGGGGCAGCGTCCGCCGAGGCCGGCCCGCCGCGGCCTCCGCGTTCCCTGCCGGACTGGGCGGACCCGCCCCGCCCCAGCGCCCGTGTCTGAGAGGGAATCGCCCTCTCTTGGCGGGGCGGGCTGTGGGCAGGTGCGCGGTGCTCCTATCTGCCGTCCGCTGTGAGGTGAGAGCTGGAGGGCTGGTAGTTCTCAGGCAGGTAAAGGGGAAGCCGAAAACTGCCGCGTGGAGTGCGTGCTTGGGCGAGTGGTCAGCAGACCTCCCCTAGCTGCGCAGCAGTCTTAGAGAAACAGAAATGGCAATTTCTCTCATTTCTGTTGTAAGAGAAGCTGGTGCTTGGGAAGGGCGCTTCGGAGCTGCAGGTAACGCGTGACTTGTACGGAAGGTGTCGTGTGACGGACGGAAGTAGGAGCTGCCACAGGAGCAGGGTGGGCACCCAGCAGCCGAATGAGTGCCACAAATGGCTGCTGCTGCTTTCTCCACTTGGCAGCCACGGGGAGTGAGGTGACGGCCTCACAGCTTCGACGCAGCATCCTTTTGCCAGACCAGCCTTACCTTTGGTAAGCGGTCTTCCTCCCGCCCTCCTGTATCTCTCTACCTCTCCTCTCGCCATCGGCTGAACTAACTCAAATGTCTGTCATGTCCATCTTCCAGCTTCAGCAGTTCCTTTCGTTGCAGCCTCTGGTACTCCTTTAGCTTCTTGCACATCAGAATACCTTTTTCACAGTTGTCAGTGAATTTGGCCTCAGAAAACACCTGACAGATCAGTATCGTTCTCCTTCACAGATGAAAGGATTCAGAAATGAAGTTACCAGCCCAAGTTCAGAGATCTGCGGCAGACATTCGCAGTTTCCCAGCAGAAAATTGCCCTATGCAGCACAGCAGCAGTACCAGCACTGCTAGAAGCAGCTGGCAGGACTTCACCTAGCAGGTGAAGGCAGCCTCTGGGAGGCATGTGTAAAGGGGCCTATTTCTCTTTCACAGAATTACAGAACTGTAGGGTTTGGATGGGACCTCTGGAGATGGGAGTTCAAACCTCTGCTAAAGCACGTTCCCTGTACAGCAGGTCACAGAGGCAGACGACCAGATGTGCCCTGACTATCTCCAGAGAAGGAGACTCCTCAACCTCTCTTGGCAGCCTGTTCCACAGCTCTCTCAACCCCACAGTGAAGAAGTTCTTTACTGATGCCCATTTGTGGCAAAGGGAACAAATGGTCATGGGCAGATGGAAGATGCCTTACATCCAAACCCATAGATTGCTGAGCTAGTCTTCAGTGAAAGTAGTCTTCTGAAATAAGAACTGGTGGTGAATTAGAGTGAGCTTAGCTCCAAAGGTTTGGTTAACAACCTAAGACAATGGCTTTCCTTCAGAAGTTATTTGCTAATACAGTTTTAAAGTGTTTGTTGATAAATGATTCTCACTTTATGGCTTGAGGCCTGAACTGAAACAGTAAAAACAACCAAAGAAAGAGGTGCAGTATTTTTTTAAAATAGTTTTAAAAGGAGAAAAAAAAAAAAATCTAACAATGGATATTAGATTATTCCATCCTAATAACATGTATTTATAATGGAAGCAATGCAGTGTTAAAGGCTTTGTGTGGCACAGTAGCACATCTTCTGGGTGCTGTGATCAACAGGACACTGTAAGGGAACTGTACCAGGAGAGATAAGGCATTTTATTAATAAAAGATGAACTTGATATTACATGTGAATAAATCTTCTGTAAAATAAAGCCATTAGAGCTAGCAAGAAGTATTATTCAATCGTACAGCAGCAGACAGTTCAACTAATGTAGCTGCTCTAGATCTGACCCTCAGCCAAGTGAGACCTTATTCTGTGAATGCTGTAGGACAAAGGAAGTCTGATTTATTACCAAAATTTCACAGAAGCCTATAATCTAGAACTGGTTTTTAGGTGCCTACCAAAATTCTGTCAGTGTTTAAACAGATTTATGCAAGACCAGAGAGCTGCAGAGTTCTTTGGAAAACTACAGCCTCATGCGTATGGTGACATCATTAGCATGTTCACAGATCTCTTCTTACCAATGGAATCAGGAGGGTTATGACATGCCTCCTGACTCTTAGGTAATCTTTTAAATACAGACATCAGTTACTGCAGTAAATTGACTGAAATATACAGCTGTGCATCTTTGTAGGTTTTGTGCTTCCATTTTCTTGAAACAAAGACACCTTTGCCTGAAGTTACACATGTTTTGGAGAGTCATATGTTTCTCCCATAACCCTAGTCACTCCTAGAGAAAAGTGGTGTTTCTTTGACACAGCTTTTGAAAATACAACTACTTCTTGTAAAATGAAACTTTATTCTAAAATGTATCCAAAATTGCAAGACACAAGCACCATTAAACAGATAAATAGACATATATTTATGTACAGAGAGCATCAAAACACAAAACAATTGTTAATATAATTCTTATACCATTTTAATGAGTATCCATCAATAAAACTTTACAATTTAAAGAAGACTTTTCAGTTGCAAAACAGTTGTAAAATCATATGTATAAATTATGTTTACTACAATTCCAATAACAGAGGCAAAGTAAAATACAAAAATAATAATCAATACTGCAAATTCAAATACAAAACCCAAAGTAATGCTGCACAGGTACATACGTACACTGGATGAATTCATGCAGCTAGGCAGTGCAACAAATTAACTGCTTAGTTTAACTTATCACAAAGTGGAACAACCATGTCGGCAAACAGAAGAAAATATATTTTTGTAATAAATCATAGTGCATTTTGAAGTTAGACTTTATAAAATGATTGTTGAGTGATATACTTCTAAAATCCCCCATGTGATCTGAGATTCCCCAACTCCTCTCCTGCAAAATAAAATACAAATGACAAAAGCTAAAAAACCCACTGTAGTACAGAGTCTGATGTACTGGTACCATCTTGATTTTTTATCCTTGGTATCAGACTTGTTTGCAAGAGTCCATGTCCCTGTGGACATACATTACTCCTTGTTATGTGAAAAGTAAATCTTAAACGTTCAAATGCTATCCCCATTAAGTTGAATCTCACGTGATGCGTAGACTGCGCTGGTTTAGAGAGACACAGCTGAGCCTTGAGAAAATAACTCTTAAATCCCTACAAATTACAGAGAGAGAGAGTAAAACGGAGGACAGAGAGACCTCTTCATTACTGAGGTTCCTATCCCTAATTGCTTTGATTACACAAACACAGAATAACATAAAAGGCTTTTATGGCTTGGATGAAATTTCTTCAAATTTGCTGGGCAAGCGGAAAGCCCATGTTTCTCCACAGAGCTTGCCTTTCACAGTGTAGAAGGCTACGGACTGTTTTGGTTGGTGAAAGGAAGCCTCAGGTAACTGGATGGAAAAATACTTCCACAGTGAAAATGCTTTAGAGATAAGGAAACAAAATCAGAACAGAACCTCGTGAAAACTCGTGATTTCTTGTGTAGCTGTGATACTAAAACATGGCTGTTCACCTTTCAGTTCTGCGTTGTTTGGTACGTCATGATCAAACATAGTTAAATGAGAGGCTCACGCCTCATCAAATGTTACTGGTTAGGTGTCTAACTTAGATGAGATACAATTACACAGTCTGACGCTTTTTCCTAAAGTCTTAAGTGATAAGCACGCTCAGTGTTTTCACTAGGAAGTCACTGCTAATGCTACATTTCTTTGCTGAGAAGACATTAATGCACAGCAGCCTGTAAACTACTGAGGAGTTGCTCCCTGCATCCTTTGTGCATCCACAACTCCCTTTCAAGCCAATGATAACTTTCGTGTTAATAAGTTTCAAGCAAACAAGGGATGCAGGAAAACACCTGTATTGGGTAAACAAGGTAGCAATTTATACAGCAGCATTTCTAAATTTTCAACATGCAAGCACATGTAGAGAGAAGCTAAGAGACAGCATGCACTGCAGTGATATGTCATTGTGCTTATGTCTGGTGGAGAACACTATGGCGTTTTCACCTGGGAAAACATAAACATTAGACCCAGAAGACTCAAATAGCCAGTATTAATGAAGCCATCAGCTACTATGTAGTAAAGAATACCCCAAAGGTTTGTCCGCTCGTAGCTTATAGATACTGAAGCTGAAGAGAATTACAAAGGCACAATACAAGCCTATATTTCTTGTAAATTATATATATTCATATATTTTGCTCAAACCACCTCAAGATACTGAATGATAAAATATAACTGAAAATATAAACATTAATTGAAAGTTAAGCACTAAAAATAAATGCTTGCTGGAGAAGATAGCTCATTACTTGCTACATTTCAACACTTCCCGGGTGCTAATCTTGTCCACATCTCCCCCATGGCTGACAAAACCCATCAAGTTGTTCAAGAATATGGTGATCCACTGAGAGAAATGCAAGAGTATCAGGCAACAGACAAAATGGCTATATGCATCTGAAAAGTTGTCCATAAGTGGCTACCACAGTTACCTTTGTCACTGCCACTGCTTTACTTTCGGCCCAGAATTCACTACGGACCCAGAAGCAGGAAAAGAAAAAATCATGGAGGGATGAGTCTAGGGTAATTCTCAAAGATAATATTTTGGTTCAGTTCAGCACTTAAAATATGAAACAGCAGAGCAGGGATTGTACTAGCGTTATCATAAGAAGCATTTCTCAGTTTTTCTATTCATAGCTACACAAGATGCTTATCATTTTCAACACCAAATGACCCACAACTCTGAAAATATAGCAAACATACTTATACCGCTGCTGTTAGACTCATTAAAATATGAAAAATAAATTACACCTATGTTTGAGTGATGAAATTATATGGCAACTTTGGAGGCAGCCGCTCTTTGGAGGCTCAGCTGAGACAAATGTGGACACTTCATGAAGGTGAAAAGGCGCAAGTTGCAACATTCATATTTTTAAACCTCAGCTGTTCCTCAGCTTGCAACAAGAAGTGGTATGATTGTTTTGACATGGTACCCATGGTGAGTGAAGAAAGACAGATACCAAGTTGGGTGAGAATTAAGGTAGGTGTATGGTGCAAGCCTGAGGTGGAACCTAGATGGGCTTTGCTAACCCAGACAGTAATGCTGTCTGCAAAAATCTGAATCTATCTGAAACTGGGTACCTTCCTTATCTCCAAACCAGCATATGAAATTATATACATTTACAGAAAGCGTACAAAAAATCCCCATATACTGCCATTACTACCTGAATTTTCACAATCCTAAATTAGGAGCTTCTAGATTCATTCCTGAAAGCTCTTAGGAAAGGAATCTAGTCATCCCTAGAAAGTATATACATTAATATCTTAGTTACAACCTCACAGCTGAATTTAAAAGCAGCATATGCTATTGCTGGTGTTGATTCATCTATGCAATGGTTTCTTCATATGTTGCTTTAAATGAATGAATCAGTGCAGACAAAGAATGAGAGAGCCCATTTAACAAATTAGGGAGGGCAGAGATAAACCTTCCAGAAATGTTTAACAAGCTAATTCAAGTTACCCCTGCTTATATATATATATATATATATTTTATATATATATATATATATATTTAAAAAAAAAAAAAAAAAGAAGAAGTACAGAAGGAGACAATAGCAAACTACGGAGCAGAAATCACCGAAGGATTAAAAAACTCATCTGGAAGCCACATGGATTCAGATTCTCAGGAGCTGTGTTATTCTCTCCCATTTTAACCCATTCCAGGGATGTGAAGCTAAGTATTAAGCCCAACTGTATGCTCTTAAAAGCAATCAGGATTTATCACTGGAGAGGGCAATGGATGCCATCATACAGTTTTCCAGAGGCATCTCTGCTTCTGTCCTTCCTGTGACTTAAAAGTGGTAACTTAGACTGGTAATTTTTGGCTAAAGTTAGGGTAGGTGGAATCAGACCAGTGTGGAACAAAACCAAATTTGGTGTGGTATTATCAAATTACCATCACCAAACACCAGTCTGCAAGAGCACTGTCTGATGCTCCAACCCAGATATGCCTTTGGTCAGGGACCATGCACTCCATCACTTTGCAGCTCCCTGGTCTTGCCAGGAACGCTCTAAAGATAAAACAGTGAAGTGAGATTTATGACCTTGTTTCCCATGTTTGGTCCTCAGGCTTCTTGGTACACCAGGGATTCCCAAATATGTGCCAGCCTGGCTGCCAGAGACACCTCCTGTGGGGAGGCTCTCTGCACACAGGCACAGGTTGTTGTTTCTTGGTACAACAGAACTAACTCCACCAAACCTCTCAGCAGCTTAACAGCTGTGGAAAACAGCTGGACATTTTGTTCAAAAAGTACTTTTAAAGAAGGGAGGCCTTCAGGTGCATGTCCGTTTTCTGACATATTCAATAAGCTTCAAATTAAGATGCATGTGTGGTATAACTGCTTCTAAGGGCTGCCACTGGACTAGGTATGATCCCCCAAAGCAAAACCTTAAACCATTTGGAAAGGTACACCATCAAGCAGCTTGTTGGACCTCTCACTGGTGCAGCCTGCTGCCTTTTTGAAATGGTCCAAGAGACTGCCTTCAAAAATCACACGCAAATTCTGGAGGAGTTTGCAGCTGGAGTTTTTACTTGCCCTAATGCAACATGCACACATCTGCATATTTATGATGTGGAGGGAATTTTGTATTGCCATACTTCTGAACTCTTTTGGTATGCCATGGATTAGCTCTTTGCTGTACCTGTCAATAATAAAAGCCAAGCACTTACTGAGGAGAAATACAGCTGCACTGAAATATACAAAATCTGTGAAACCCGACACAAAATCAGTATTTATTAAGGTCAGAGGCGGGCCATCCTGCTCTGTATGGATTTTCTATATTAATATTTAGATTGACAAATTTAATTCCGGATGACTTGGAAAATTTCTGAGGTTCTCCTTGTTTCTAAAGACTAGAGTTTCAGTGTTAGTTTCACTTGTGATACTGAAAGTCAATCTGTCGAAAACACACCTGCCTAGTTGTTTATAAGCAGCCAGCAAGCACTTCTCTTTAACTGGGATTATGCCCTGTTCTCTATTTTTTTACCTTTCCGGCCTTAGAAATATAAGGACATCTACAGATGGTCGTGGAGGTGTGAGGAACATTTTTTTCAGTACTCAAGAGTTTTACATGAATGGGTGAAGGTGCAAAGTCACTAACAAATACTGCCTTTATTCAAAAGGTCAGCCTAGTCACTTAAACTAAAAAATAAATGACTAGGAATCCCCTTCAACTTTCTCAGGTTGCATTGCCAGTGATAGCTGGTGACAAGGACACACAGCACACAGAATGTTCCCTGACTGCAACTGACAGTTCTGGATTTCTGTCCTGGCACCATCGCAGAGGCTTTGATACACCAGGGGAGAACCTGTTGTGTGTTGCCCACAGGGTCTGATTCCCAGCTGCAGCTTGAACACAGCCAGCATGGCATTGCAAGATGCTGGCTGTCCAATCGTGCTTGGCCCCAGGCCCTCATCCAGGCTGCAAATTGGGCCAGATTTGCTTAGGTTATGTTTGATTTAATATTCCTGCTAGCAGCTTATGTATCCTGCTGTCTGAAATAAGTCCTGAAATCACTAAGCGTGCTTAACAAAGGTTTACCTAGACGTGAACAGCAAGTTTTGATGACAGAACAGGTACTATTGTAGTACACAGTACACACGGCTGCACAATCAAAGCCACCTCTTGCTTCAGGGCAGGAATTTATAGTATTAAGCAATAGAGACAAGGTTTCTTGCACAGAACCTGTAGGAGTTTACAGACTAAGGGCTGCTGAGGTAATAATGCCAACAGTTGGCTACATAGAATATGTGTGCAATGTGAACCAAGTTGACAACAGTTTACCAATGCTTTAAGTAATACCACAAATATGCAATTAAATCTTCCTCCTCTCCCTGCCAGAAATAAGTGTTTTCCAGCTGCATGTATGGCAATAAAAAACTGGCATAAAAAGCCGCTTTGATGTTTTTTTGTTTGTTTTAAGAAAACATGCACAAAATAGATGCACTACAACATTCTTGGAAGGGGATACTTGCCATAGAAAAAAAAAAAAAAAAGGCTTCACAATTGGTCATTAAGCATATAGAGCATGCTGATACACACTTCTCAGACAGCCACTGCAGGGCAAGAAGGGTTCCTTGGATGCCTTCCTTTTGTCTCCTCCCCCAAGAAAAAGTTACTTGATTCTCAGCAGAAAGTTCCAGCTCACACTGTCCTCATGTCTCTCCTCCCTCATCTTATTTCATTCAGGAATTTTTATTCTTTTCCTTAACTTTTAATGTCACTGTAAATGAAAGCTTATTGCCAGCTAATGTACTTTTCAAATTCTCCTAGAAATTACAGCTTTAGTAATCATTTCCTACTTCAATCATGTAGGCTCTGTTTGGATTTTATTTTTCCTCTATTCTGCACAGCAAATATCAACTTCTGTCTCAGGCTATTTTATGTCATTGCTGGAAGTAATCTTGTCTAATGCATAATCAAGCCTGTGAGAAGCTAACTTTCCTAATGCTGAACACTTAACAACAGCTCTCGGGATCTTGCACAGCCACAACATCTGTAATGAAATAAATGTTCTATAGTGGGACTCTCGTTATGGATGTGAGTAACTTTCTGTATGTTTATTGGGCAAATTGTTCTTGTTTTTGTGTAAACATCTGGCTGAGTTGTTTAATGGAAAAATCCAAATGAAAGGGAAGAAAAACAACTGAAATAAAGCCTACAAATCTCCAGTTCATCCAGAGGATGAATTGGCTCCTTGTGTAAGGAGCAAAGTTCTGTACTAACTGTTCACACCAAACTGTTCACTCTATGTGGACAAACATAGGTTTGGCCATGGGTGTTGTTATAACTCCCTCCAATCCTGAAGAGCTGTACGTATTTCTGAAGCAAACCAGACTGCCAAACAGTATGTCTAGTTGCTAGCACACCCAAGGTACTGGGGAAATGTGTCTATCAAAAAATAAAAAGTAACAAACAAACAAACAAACAAAAAAAACCCAAACAAACAAGAACCCAAACACGTTCTGCACTGATTCCAGAAACCAGTGCCAACGTCCCATAACTTTCTCTTAGAAAAACCAGACCTCTTGCTCCAGCCCTGCAAAATCCCAAGGATCCCACAGGCCTGGCTGCCAGACGCAGTGCAGCAGTTCCCTTGGAGAGGTGAGGCTGGATATGAAGGTCATTTGCCACCCAGTCCTCCACAGCCAGGCCCCACAGAGGCCTGCTGAGCCATGTGCATCAGATGTGAGGCAACTTGCTTTTAGGGATATGGAAGGAGATTTCAGCATGAAGGCCTGTATTAGTCATAGCAGCTAGGCAATATGTTTTGGTTTTGGTCTGGCTTCCCAAAAACATGTATTTCAGTGAGTATTTACAATGCTAAATTCAAATAGAGAAGAAAAAAAAAATGTCATTTGTTTTCTTGAATTCTTTTGCACATAGATATTAAATAGTGGCTAGAAAGTGACCATTTCAAATCATAACTGAAAATTGTCTCTTTATTAAACGTGAAAACATGTACCCGAGAAAACCCTTACACATTTTTATGGCAAGTTTTCCCATTACATGAGAGGCTTTCTTACATATTTTAGGCTTAGATGAAGAACAGTGACCAAAGAGAAGTTCAGACTAAAACTGCAAAGCTGTTAGCTATGTTGAGGGAAACTATGGCTGCATGACTGAAAGCAAAATGAAAGGACAAGTTCACAAAAACGTTTAATATAGTAGTGAACAATGCTCTAAGAAATAAAATAAGAAACAGAAGAAAGCCATATCTGTTCCACATATCAGTACTATGGGCACATGAATATGTTCATGCACCAGTAAAATCAGTAAAATGAGATAAAATGTTGGCTTGGGGAAGACTTCTAGACTGTCCACGCTCAGCCTGGGTTTAGCATTTTAGCAGTCTCACTCTTCTGAAGGATATTATTTGTATTGTAAAATCTGCTTAAAATTAAGCCTGTGTAGGCTTTATTTCAAACAAATGTGCATGTGCAGGATCAGAATTTCAATTGTTGAGTAGACAGTCCATTTATCTTCCCTAAATTTGTTACTGTAATTTGTTTCCAAGATGACAGTGCTGGCAAACAACTTGCATGCATGCACTCAAATGAGTAATTTAGCTAAGGATTTTTTTCTGTTTTTCATGTTGAAGCAACATTTTGGTAATTTTAGTAGACTCTTCGTATTTTTCTCCATATATAGGTCTGCAAAATAATGTCACACCTCAGATAAATTCTACATTTTACCAAGGTCAGGGTGAAATCCTACAAGAAAAATGACACTATATCTGAGTGGTTTCATCAAAGTTTCAGCAGGACAACTGGCACAAACAGGAGCTTATAGAACGGAGCCAATAATGTCTGGAAAGCAGAGGGAGCTGCACACACTGAAATTTAAACCTAAGTCATTTACATTTGAGTGTACTCAATTTTTATAGATGTTGTTGTCATTACATCCTGAATTAGATCCTTAGTGTGATCAGTTTAAAGAAAAATGAGCTGTCACTG